AAAAATAACAACACTTTGTCAGGACCATGAGGCGATCATTCCTACCAACTTTCAGTTCAATCGGTCCAGCAGAACTTGACTTTAAGTTTGAAATAGGTTTTCAAAATGGCGGCCGTGGCGGCCATATTGGATTTCTGATCGACCCGAAAAATAACAACACTTTGTCAGGACCATGAGGCGATCATTCCTACCAACTTTCAGTTCAATCGGTCCAGCAGAACTTGACTTTAAGTTTGAAATAGGTTTTCAAAATGGCGGCCGTGGCGGCCATATTGGATTTCTGATCGACCCGAAAAATAACAACACTTTGTCAGGACCATGAGGCGATCATTCCTACCAACTTTCAGTTCAATCGGCCCAGCAGAACTTGACTTTAAGTTTGAAATGTAAAATGTTAACGGACGACGGACGACGGACGACGGACGACGACGGACGAAAACGGATAGCAATAGGTCACTTGAGCTAAAGCTCAGGTGACCTAAAAATAGAATACACACACAATATTATTACCAGGTATTTAGTTTTCAATAAAACTATTCGTCATTTCTTGCAAACAAAAATCTTGGACTTTGTTTTCTTACCTACAATATCTTAAATAATATGTTCCGTTTATATTTTTAGTTTCTATTTACTTTACTAGCAAAAATAATATTCCTTGGTATTTCACAATATAAGATAGGTGACAAAAATGATGAAGGGAATGGTTAAGATGGTGACTGGATTGGCAGGAAAGGTCATTCACATGTTGATTTATCATCAAATAAACCTACCTGTCCATAGCCCGACATCGGTAAACAGACACTTCATATATCCAGTGTGTAGTCGACGTATTTTAATTAATATCATGCAGAACAAAATGTACATGTTTAAGATTCACAACAGAACCTGGACAGTTATGTGGTTAGGAAAATTAGTGCCATGTTATCTTGACTATCCCAATACATGTCAAGATAAGCACACCACGGAAATTTGATGTCTGATGCTGGTTATTACTATTTAAAGCGCAAGTACTGTGCAAATCAGATATTTTCTTGGGGCCGCAATATTGTGGTTTCCCCGGATAAACATTTCAAGAATTTGTGGATTACGAGTACCCACTTAAATCGAGAATTGCTTTATATCAAACTTGTAATTACTTTGTGTACCTATAAATTTGTGGATGAAGTCTACTCACTAAATCAACGAAATTAAAACCCCCACGAAAATGAGTAATTTTAAAGTATCTGTATTCCCATAATTAACACCTCTACTTTTAGCTGTAAACTTTTCATAAATCCTCCCGAATACGTGCCTCCTCTACAGTAAAACTAAGCTGAAATTCCTCTGGCACATCACAGCAGTAAATCAACTGAACAACTTGTATACCCTCACTCTTTTGCAGTAGGGATTCTATTTAATACTTGATTAACTAGTCCTTGGTTAAAATGAGATGGAAAATGCAAATATTATGAAAAACATACTTTTCAATCTCTGTAGACATTTTTCCCAGTTTCTGTTCTGGGCAGATGTCAGGGCTGAGTACATCGTAATAATTCACATTATCGGACAGACAGCAGTATTGTTTATGGTAGTGTTATCATGATTGTGTAGTTCAGTGATGTAAATGAAAATATATCAATACAAAAAAATAATAAATACATTCAGGATTTATAAATTTGCAAATTGCGTACATTTCAATCAGCAATTATATATGTACAGGTATACATGACACTATATGAATTTTTACAAAAATACATTTACATATACAAAACCTTTAGACATGAACATTGCAAGACCAAAATTTCAATATATACACATTATATACTTAATTCCTATGTACAGGTAAGTATATAGAATTCATAATAAAACATGTGTTACACACAAACACAATTGCTGTAATCAATAATAACAAACAAGTGTATGAGGAAGCTGCCTTTCAATCTCAATGATGTACAATGATTTGTAGCATGTATTCTCTTTTTTAAAGACATAAGCTTGAAGATGATCATACATTTTGATTAAAGACATAATGAAATAGCTCACAAATGTAGTTTGACGACCAGACAAAGCAATTATTACAGACAAGGCTTTCTTCTGACATTGACATGCTAGTTGGGTTATGCAAAATGTTATATCAGCTTAACTTAAATATACAAGTTCTGACAACAGGAGATCGTGCAGGAAAGAACATTAACGTACCACAGTGGTGCTTGTTTTACAAAGCAGTAAAATAAATGAAATATTTAAAATAAATACTACCAACATGAATATCCTCACAAACGTCAAGCCATACGAATGGTCTTGCGCACACATAAGACTTTTTAGCCATATCCTCTATTTGACAACAAAATTGTCAAATGTACATAACATCAAAGTATCCTGACAAGACATTTGTCATACATTTACGCTCTCCAGAATGTTCACCATATATATATATGTGTATGTACTAGTACCCTATAACATCATACCGGTCATGTGTACATATATGTGTATGTACCACTACCCTCTAACATCAGACCGGCCACATGTACATATATGTGTATGTACCACTACCCTCTAACATCAGACCTGTCACATGTACATATATGTGTATGTACCACTTCCCTCTAACATCAGACCTGCCACATGTACATATATATGTACTAGTACCACTACCCTCTAACATCAGACCTGTCACATGTACATATAGGTTTATGTACCACTACCCTCTAACATCAGACCTGTCACATGTACATATATGTGTATGTACCACTACCCTCTAACATCAGACCTGTCACATGTACATGTACCGGTATGTACTAGTATCCTCTAACATCAGACCTGCCACATGTACATATACCGGTATGTACCACTACCCTCTAACATCAGTCCTGCCACATGTACATATATGTGTATGTACCACTCCCCTCTAACATCAGCCCCGCCACATGTACATATATGTGTATGTACCACTACCTTCTAACATCAGACCGGGCACATGTGCATATACCGGTATGTACCACTAACCTCTAACATCAGACCTGTCACATGTACATATACCAGTATGTACCACTACCCTCTAACATCAGACCGGCCTCATGTACATATATGTGTATGTCCCACTGCCCTCTAACATCAGACCTGTCACATGTACATGTACCGGTATCTACTAGTATCCTCTAACATCAGACCTGCCACATGTACATATACCGGTATGTACCCCTACCCTCTAACATCAGACCGGCCACATGTACATATATGTGTATGTACCAGTACCCTCTAACATCAGACCTGTCACATGTACATATATGAATATGTACCACTACCCTCTAACATCAGACCTGTCACATGTACATATCCCAGTATGTACCACTACCCTCTAACATCAGACCTGCCACATGTACATATATGTGTATGTACCACTACCCTCTAACATCAGACCTGCCACATGAACATATATGTGTATGTTCCACTACCCTCTAACATCAGACCTGTCACAAATACATATATGTGTATGTACCACTACCTTCTAACATCAGACCGGCCACATGTGCATATACCGGTATGTACCACTACCCTCTAACATCAGACCTGCCACATGAACATATATGTGTATGTGCCACTACCCTCTAACATCAGACCTGTCACAAATACATACATGTGTATGTCCCACTACCTTCTAACATCAGACCGGCCACATGTGCATATACCGGTATGTACCACTACCCTCTAACATCAGACCGGCCTCATGTACATATATGTGTATGTACCACTACCCACTAACATCAGACCGGCCACATGTACATATATGTGTATGTACCACTACCCACTAACATCAGACCGGCCACATGTACATATATGTGTATGTACCACTACCCTCTAACATCAGACCGGCCACATGTACATATATGTGTATATGTACTAGTACCCACTAACATCAGACCTGCCAAATGTACATATGTGTGTATGTACTAGTATCCTCTCGTAGCAGAATGTGGTTCACAATAGAGCGATCATGTGACATCATAAGTAGCACTTGCAGACAGAAACATGGCTGTTGCCTGTTTAACGATAACCATATTAGGTTTGAACAATTAGACTTTACTTCACTGCTATCATCCATTTCAAAACAGACTGAAAGCGCCCAATCTCCACATTTCTGTTCACAAGAGTATCTTAAGTATATCACATCATTGCTTTAGGTACATACAAAGCGTAATAAGTTAACAAAGTTTATAATACCTGTTTTTAAGTAAAAAGTCTTAAATTGTTTTACGGAAAAACCATGTAAACATACCAATCTGTATGTACTCTGAATTTTGTAAATTTTGTTTTTTATCCACATATCCGACATGATGGTATCTCGATTCTAGAACGGACGATAAGAAGATCAAAAGAGTTCCGTTTCCTAATATTCCTTTTAAGACATTTTAGATAAGGAGGCCATCTTGGCTCAAGATATACCATCCAGCTTCTAATATTATACACATATTTTGTACATCACAGTTTGTGAATATTGTTTAATATCTACGGTGTTTAGTACACAACAAATACCTCAGTATTATCATGAAGCTAATTTTCATAGCTGGGACAAATTAACCAGCATGGAAATCATTCATGCAACATGTCAACAAAATAAACATTCTCAATAACGAATTACACGAGTCAGTCAAAAAAATAATTTATATTGATACACCAGTAAAAATGTGATGCTGCAGAAAATAACAAAACCATGCAGTTCATTGTTCTACCTCTGACATTAGAAAACTAATAAATAATTATTATATACCAGTACACAGTTCACAACATGCTACATGCAATAATCTGTACAATAGAATCAACACAAAACAAGAGAAAGCACTTCAGTCTTCGCCTAGGCTATAAGCATCATACAAATTTAAAAAAAACCCAGTTTTTATATAAATGTTTCTAAATACCAAGAAAATATTCAAAGCAAGCAGTTAAAGGGGGTAATAGTATTTTCAGTGTAGAAATTTTGAAAATAATTGGGAAACTGAACCCATGATTTCAAATACCTGTCTATCCCAAATCCAGTGTAAAATCCAGATATATTCCAGACTATTTCTTATTTCTAATAATAATTTAGGTTCTATTTACCTAAATGTTTACGACTTACTTAAGGCATATCATTACCATACCAGTCTGAGGACGCACATATTGACTATGGTAATTTATATTAACTCAGTCTACAAAATACAACCAAGCAACAAAAGAAAGCCTGCTAACACATTTGACAGAGAACGTTTGCATGTATTGACATATAAATAGGTGAGATAACTTACAGGGACTGTGTGTAACAGGAGAAATCTGTAGAATATATCTATAAAACTCTTGCAACATTAATAATATCTAACAAATATATAACCGAAAATCTTTTTACCAACACTTTTATTGGTACACAACCAAAACAAATAACAGTTTATTACAGTGATCCCTCTGGCCCAATTTTAATGAAGAGTTGGTAGCGTTTTCCATGATACCTTAATTAAACATTATCATCGAGTGGTTTTGAAAGTTGGATATGTCAATCACCTCTTTTTATTGTAATCATCTTTGCTAATGAAGAAAAAAAGATTATCCCTCCTTAGATATTGGACAAAATTGGTAATCTAAATACTGATTAAGGGTAGTTGCCCTGTGATAGTTTTGTCAAGCTATTTTGATCCCTTCCCCCAGGTTTAGGGAATAGTGCACCAGTATTTATCTCTTTAATATGAAATACTTTCATGATATGTTAAGTCTATTTATGTGATGGCATGATAAAGTTGATTTATATGGGCATGACAAAAATGGTCTACATTTAAAAAATAAATATAAGGAATTTCAGCACGATATATTTTTAAATGTGATTTTTTTTAACTTTAAAATTTTGAGCAATTCTGAAGTGTTAAATGTAATTTAATAATTTAAAACAGTTGGGTGCTGCCTTATTTTGTCAAATCAATTATCTTTCCTCTGGCAAGTGTATTTGATCCGAAATTCAGCGCAAACCACTGTTGGTGATGAGATGGTCCAGAAGAGACTTTAACAATGTTAATATATCACACAGGTTGAAATAGGCTGGTGCAGTTCAATTGCTATATTTCCAACTATAGGGGCATCACTCAATTGTAAGTCAGGTAAATACAGCCAACATATATTACAGGAATAAATTACATACATCTTACTAATAGGTAATGGTTTCATACACAGTCCTGTCTGATTTCAGAATGACAAAGTTTCACGAGATAACACTTTTGTGTCTCAGTCACATCAGTTCACATACCTAGTAACTTAATGACAAGAAATATTTAATGAACTACAAATGTCTCCATCGTGTATACTGAAACCTTGTTAATCCAGACAATAAAACCCCAAAATACTGCTCAACAAATACTAATATTTGAAAGTGAACTGCTTTCATAGAGTCAAATTTTCTATTTGATGTATCAGGAATAATTCTTATGAATTCTATCGGGGATAACATAGGATGTTTTTAAACTGGTACTGATGAATAAATACTACCTTACTGTGACACTCATCACCTTTACATGAGTTTCAAACTTAAAAACAAGTATAAACACTTTGTCTGTCATATCTTAAAAAAATGGTTACATTAATACCTGGGAAGAAAATATGATTTTAATTGTGATTTTAAACTATTAAAGAATGTTTGGCAATATTCCAACAGGTTTAACCTCCAGAACATATCTACTGTTATACTAGACTGTATTTTTAAATCAAAAGTGTCCCGATGCTAGAGATTCAAGTACAACACTGGTACCAACCAGACACTGGAAATTCAACCAGACACAGGATATCCAACTGATGCAGAAAGTGAAGCCGATGTCTGCAGCTGCAGATACAAAGATACAAATATCAACACGCATCCCAACCTTAACTGTCTGTGGAACAAAGTCTGTGTCAACCTTCGCACTGAGATCTGTGAACACTTGTGTTATACAGTATCACGGGGTTTAGATGATAACAGTAATTCCTTGACTCGTTCTGGGGTTGGTCCCCATTTGGCAAATCCTGCATTGTTCTGGAGAAACACCACCATTGTACCGTGTAATGACTTGGAACTCATCTCGGTCCTGAAATTACAAAACTCCATGATTTATCCTGCAATGCTTCCTTCAAAATAATATTTAACTCAAACTTATCGAGATATATGTGTATCACAAAGTCCCTACAGTACATAACAAAATAAATAGCAACAGACGCTTTCCATTCAATCCCTAATGAAGGGCTAAGCCCTAAAGCTTGAACAGAGTGACTGTTTCTAGTAATAAAAATATATTTTGGTGTTAATGCAAAGGGAGGCATTTCAAGTTGATGGGATACAACATTTTAAGTAATGGTTTGTTTAGTGCGCCCCAGCCAAACTACTTGTGGGCGGATGGGGTCACAAAAAAGTGCCTCCCTGACTCAAATGTTTTTATTTCTGGAATAACCCTCAGTCATTGTGTACAATATAACACAGCAAGTAAAACATTTAGTTCCATGGATTTTCCTGTATTGCACTTTTGATTTATTACAAAAACTGTTTAGAAATGATCTCAGGTATGAGGCTATGTGATACTGTTAATCAAACAAACTTAAATTGTTCACATATGTGTACATAGTCATCAACAAATATAACTGCTACCATCAACAAGAGGCCAACAGGGCCTGCATCACTGACCTGGATATCTAAGCAATCATGGTAAATTATTCTCCAAATAAGACCCAAGGAAATAGGCCAGACGCCAGACCCCTAGGCCAATCCTTGTAGCATATCTGTATTAGAATTTTTATGCCCAGCAAATTTATGTATGGTTATGGGGTCAGGATCTCAACTGTTTCCAAGCTGTGACTCAGAAACTAGGTCCCTAGGGTTGTGGCAAGACCCCAGGATTAATTTTAATATCATGACCGATTCGTCTCTTTATGCCCAGCATTTGTATATATACCATTTGTACAATTTTGAATCCCTGCCTCCCATGAATGCTTCCGACCAATTATGATTCCAGTGCATAGTTCTACAGAAGAAGTCGTTTATAGCAATATAGCCAAATTACCCCCTTTTGGCCCCACTCCTCAGCCCCCTGGGGGGGGGGGGGGGGNTCAGCCCCACCATTTGTACAATTTTGAATCCCCACTACCTAGGGATGCTTCCAGTCAAATATGGTTGATACCCATTTCTGAGTTCCAGAGAAGAAGTCATTTAAAGCAATATAGCCAAATTGTCCCCTTTTGGCCTCGCCCCTAAGCCCCCTTGGGGGTCAGTCCAACAATTTTTTCAATTTTGAATCCCCACCACCTAGGGATACTTCCAGTCAAATTTAGTTTAATTCCAATCAGTGGTTAAGAAGAAGTCATTTGAAGAAATCGTTGACATACGGAAGACGGACGCCACAGTATGGCATAATTATATAAGCTCACGTTGGTCCTTCCACTAATAATACAATTATAGTGTTAAAGAATACTGTCAACTAAATCACTATTGACATATAATACACTACATAGACTTTTACTTACTTGGGACAAAAATGTTGAAAACCACTCCTGTATTCATGCTCATATGGCGGAAATATCACCTGTTTCCTTTTGAATCTGAAAAGGTTAACAGATATTAATTTACTGAATAGATACTGACCAAGACAAATTTAAAAGCAATTCATTTCTTTGTAAATAAGGTAGATTAAAATCCATCCCTTGTGCCAATCCCTACCTAGTTCATGTAAAACTATATAATCATATCTGTATAATATATTGATGGGAAAAGACAGTGAGATAGTTTGTGTTTTATCATCTTGTTCAAATCATGTTTCAATCAAGAAAATTCTTTAGAATTGATTACCTAGGAGTGACATTACTATAATATTTTATATAGATAATGCTCAGTCACATGACCAAAGAGATATTCTGGGATTTATTTGCTAGGGATCACAACAATACAAGAAAGCTTACTTTTGAAAACTTCCTTTATCTTTGCATATAGCAAATTGTTTTTCAAGAGTTAAATGTTTCCAATTTCATCTAAAAATCATGGAATAAATATTTACAATTTCAAATTTCAGGACTGAGGATAATGAAAAAGCTGAATTTTCATATTTATCTCGATATCCGTACAACCTAGTTCTTATGTGCATTAAATCATGGTCCTTCAAACTATAAAATAACCCCTCATGATTCCCACACACTAGGCATCTTCAATTAGAACTACAACTAATGCTGGTGGGAGATGTTGGTCCAGGAACTGGCTCAGAAATGTCCATGACTGTTAATATGTTAATTTAAAAGATAAATCATACAATTTTGTGCTATTTAATCATTTGGATTATTTAAGTGACCAATGCAGCAAGTCATACAGATTTTTACTCCTATACATCTCAAAATATGGACCAATTTACATGCTTGATCAAACCCTGACCTGCTAGACTCGAGTCGCATGAGCGCCTCAGTGGGAGGGTCTCTCCACTCAGGGATGAACACAATAAATGACAAGGGTTCCTGGGTATCACCTAGCAAGCCCTGCAAACACATACATGTACAAATTAAACATCAATTTACATACAAAATATACATATGATAGTTTAAGTTTACAGATGATTAATACTTATTTTAGCTGCTCAAATTTTAATTAATTAGTGCATTGATGAATTGCACACTCACAATAGATGCAAAATATATATGTTTACATTTAAAAATAGTAACTCTCTTTATTTCGCAAAGTTCAAAACAACGAGTGCCTAAAATAAACTCTTTCAGATGTTAGACCACATCATAGGTTTTGACAAATCGACATATCTTCGGTGACCCTAACTGCCTCTTTATCCCCCTTAGGGTATCGCTGGGGCAAAGCAAAAGTTACCTCAAAATGATCAACCATTGCTTCCATGAGTTCCTCACAAAATGGTGGATTGGCTTCAAATGATCCGCTCACTGGATGGAATTTCAAAATTGATCTGTAAAATCAGACACAACTTATGACTTTAACTCTGCATGGTGTGTAATGTAATTATCTCCCTTATACTCTGAAACTACCGAGTACATGTAGTATCATCGTTCCAATTTCAAATTTAAAGTTCATTATATATTTCCGAAGTGTTTTATTCTTGACATGATCTACACATGATCACACTACCAGTCACTGAATTACCGTATTCACTTTCACAAATATCTGTGAACGTTTCAATACTTAATGTCCAACTATTTTTTTAAAAAACATCCACTGACAACATCATCTAACATGTGCTACACAAAATTGCCTCTTTTGGTTTCTACCAAAAACCAAGTCACAAGAATTTTGAGGAGTGATGTAATGTGCTTTACCGTAGAAAATGGAAGAGATTTTGATACCTCAGTGAGACAGTATCTACTGTCGCCAGTGGTAAACTGTAAGGTTGGCAAAGATGGGATTTAATGTAAACAACATGCAGGTGACTTACCCACGAGAACCAAAATAAGAATCTGTATCTTCGAACGCTGAACAGTACTGCCTGAAGTAGCAGTTTAATGGGGATGCAAAACACTCAAATGACACACCAAACACACGGTTTAAACATTCAAACACAGGTACAGGAAGGGCTCCTTGTAAACCGAAGCCCTCACTGGCGTGAATCCCAAACAGCGTCTGGAAAAACAAGGCAAACTATTGTGAGCAATTGATCGTATTCCACCGTACCTTTAAATCTGTCCCAGAAGCTTTAAGGTGACTCTTTTCATGTCTTTTGAGGGGAGTGGTCTTTCAAAGAAAGGTAAATACATATTGTACTGTATACTTGAATTTACTACAACATATTTATTGTTCAAGAAGATCTATATTATATTTATATAGAATTTAGGCCCTCTCCCGTACTGTTACACTAACCTGATATCTCCGTAGCAAACACCATACTCGGGCAAGAAACTGGTCAAATCTGGGATCATCTCTACAATTCAGTCTATAAAGCTGTTCCTGTAATGTACACAAATATTTATAAATTTAATTCAAGTTAGTACAGATATTAGCTCACCTAGGCAAAGTCAGCTTATGCTGTGATGCAGTGTCTTCTCATGCCAACTTTTCCAATGTATTGATACAAGAGTTATTAATTGGTTTGGTTAATTCTGTGTAGTAGATTCTGACAAAACACACTGAACACCGAGTTGTGGATTTAAAGTTTAACACTGTGGCCGCAGTGATAAGAGGCCTTACCCCTAACTTGAGGGCTCTCTCTCCAAAATTAAGTTCATGTCTTTTTAACATAGTTTTGAAACACAAATGCAAATCTTCTAGTTCAAAATCTAACGCATGCCGGTTATTCAGGATCACAACATCAAACATGTAGGTCTAAATAATAACAGATCTACTCGGGCCTTCCACCCGAGGCCTTCCTTTGCCTCTCGCTTCGGAGGCTCCCACTTCGAACCCCAACTCTCGGCTCCCTATAAATTCCTCCTCAATTTGTTTTAGCAAACAACAGGACATCAACTTTTAATGATAATGTACTGCTTTACTGTACATGCATAATAAGGCATGTGCAATGATAAAATCTTATTATTGCTTTCTCCTTTCAAACCATTTCAAACCAAAACTAACATATTTTGTTTTCAGTTACCCCCATCTTATTTTCCAGAGTTATCTCTGTTTAACCATGTGGCTGATCACCTATCTGTCAATGGACGTGCCTCCCTGCACTATCTAATCCTGCAACAGTCTGCATGTCAATCAACTGAACTTTGACGAAAATGTCGCTTTCTACTGATGGTAAACATTGACTATTTGAAATGATTCGGTAAGATTACATTAAGCAGTCAGAAAACAAAGGTATATAAATTGTCAAAGTAGATGCATCGATCTCAAGACACAAAAAAATCTTACCAGTTTATGAAAATGTGAGCTGTTGATTCTGAGAGCTTCTGTTTTGTACTTGAGGCTGTGAACCTCATTTTCTGTCTGCATTTCAACCAGTGGCATTCGTGGACATGGAATCACCATTTGTATAGGGTAACACACAACCTTACGCTTATGTGTTGGCTCTGGGAATGGTGGAACAGCTGAAAATATGAAGAGAAATGGTTACATATTTACTTGATGCTCTAATACTTCAATAATTGTATCACGTATGTGATACTCAACAAATGACGATGGATAATAATATATTTTTGTTTGTGATCCAGTAAATTCATTCTCAATTACCAGTGAGAGAAAAAGAATCATTCATTTATTGATATTAAATCAAATTAACCACATTATTACAATATATTATCTCTTGAACTTGATATTTTGTTGAACATGAAACATTTGTGGTCAATATAACATCCAAGCCAAAAGAGTAACACATGATTAAAACTTGTCACATGATACTAACTCTGTACATAGATTGATTGGTGTGGAAAATCTGAAAGACTTATCAAACTTAGCTTAGATTATCGAAACCAACAAGCTTGATGACTCACGAGTGATGTTGCTTTCCTTAAGTAACTGCCAGTGTTTTTCATGCAGAGTTTTGACTGTGTCTGCAGACATGTTGAAGATTTTACTACAAATGCCCTCCACAGATCCCTTAGCTGTTTCTGTGAGGTGAGGCTGACACTGTCGTTTAAGATGAGCTAGTCGTTCCTGTTAAAAATAGCATTTATTAAGGCTATATGGTACCTTACACAATATACCTGTAATTTATGCTAGAGTTAAGGATAATACACTACTAACAAATAGGTGATGCAACTTAAATATGCAAGTAATGTGAATCAATTTGTAAATGTTACTGTTTATATGCATCCAACCTTTACCTCTACTGAATCAACCTCATTTGCTATTCTTATTGAAGTTCAGGAAGGTAAATAAGTTTACAAACAATATTCCCTGGAATCTATTGCTTATCTTATATAGTTTGAGCAACAGACCATTCAGGTCTTTATGAGAACACTTATTGTACAGTTTTCCATTTTCAAGTACAAGGTAACAGATAAAAAATCTTTGTTTGTCATTTTTATGGAATGCATTACCAAAAAATCCTCATAGCTTGCATTTTGTTGTTTTCTTAACCATGTGAATGTGTCCTCTACATTCCACTTGACAATCTTGCGACTTTCAGATGAAGCACTCCTTCAAAACAAAATTTTATGCAATTAAGGAAATGTAAATATGCATATCGATCTGATAAGGCTTGTCCACAAAAATATCAGTTACATGTACCAGAATTTATAAAATTATTGCAGTCTATTTCAAGAATTTTTCTTTATACATCAGCATTAATCAAAACAATTTAATTTCAAAGTTCAGTTTAAAAGGAAACACTCAATCACATACTACAAAATCATGTACAGCAATAAAGGGAAGTTTAACCCTTTTTTATCTTTTGCTCTTTAAAAACATATAAGTTCAACCTGGTATGCAAAACTCTGTAAGCTGTTCAAATTCTTTCTCCAATAGAAGGGCATTCAACAAGGGCGGGAAGATATATAAAAACATTTTAAGAGGAGAGATAGTAATATGGTTTACAGTGATACCTGGTTTCTATCATTTTCTTTGCTGATTCAGCGTATTTAAAGAGCTGTTTCTTGGCGTCCCCGGAGTACTTAGGTTTGATCAGTTTGACAGGTATGTCATTCATAATTTCCCTGTACATAGACTGTGATATCTCAGGTGAGCACACTGACGGCAGGAAGGGGTCACTACCCTTGTCCATAACCTTCCTCTCCAATAACCACCTGTTAAACGACTCTGTAGGGGCGTGTATTCCTGAAAGAAATTGTAAACTTGTATAAATGGTATATTTCATAAACAAAACAAGCAAATTCATGGAATTTCTATCCCCCAACTTGCAAGACATATTGAAAGGAAACATATTGAGGTCAGGTTTAAACATGTAAGTATCGTGCTGTTGAGGCATACATATAGCTTGAAACTCGTAGAAAGAAAGGCCATATACAGAAGTTTTTATTGAACATATAGAAACGGCAGATAATGATGTTTTTCAATATTCGAGGGGCCATAACTCCGCCAAATAAAGTCCCATGAAAGTGGTCATCCAACTTGGCCGAGCCCTTTAGGCATTTAACACTGTGACCAAGTTCGAAGAAAATTGGTTACTACCTGTTGTAGTCATTGCACGGAAACGAAACGCAGCAGATAATGATGTTTTTAGTTATTCAAGGGGCCATAACTCCGCCAAATGGAGGTCCGCTGAAAGTGGTCATCAAACTTGGCTGAGCCCTTAAGGCATTTAACCCTGTGACCAAGTTTGAAGAAAATCGGCCAATATTTGTTGTAGTTATTGCACGGAAACAAAGCGCGGCAGATAATGAAGTTTTTCGTTATTCAAGGGGCCATAACTTCGTCAAATGGGGTCCACTGTAATTGGTCATCCAACTTGGCCGAGCTCTCAAGGCATTTAACCCTGCGACCAAGTTTGAAGAAAATAGGTTAACATTTGAGGTAGTTAATTATTGCACGGAAACGAAGCGAGACAGACAGACGGATAAACCAAAATTAATATCCCCCGTTTCGGTGAAAGCCGGGGATAATAAATAGAATTAAGTCTGAGGAACATTGTTGGAATTTACAGTAGCACCATGTTAATGCTTGTGAAAATGATTATTGTAAATCCAGAACAAATTTGTCAGTCAAAACCTACAGTCAGAAAGAAAATGGTAAACAGTTAGGAGGTTAATATAAAGCGACTGCTGTAATCGTTTGATCCTTGTGAAATTGACCATGTGATACAGACTGAAGTATCTCACGATCAATTTCACTGACTGCTATACAAAAACGATCCTTGATTTCCAGGGGTTATGATTACCTACAGAGAGCGAAAGTAAGCGTAACCCCTGGATATCGAGGATGTACAAAAACAGGAGCCAGTGACCATATGACCATTTTGCCCACAGTGTAAAGGAAAACAAGGAGTGAATATAGAGGCATATTTTAAGAAATCCCTTTAGGTTAAAGGTACCACTAAATCAATTAATTACAATTCCATGAAGAGGATTGTTTTTTACTGGGAGTATTCTCCCTTCTTTATGGAGATGAAGAAACCAAAAGGAGTTTTCTTGTCGAAGGGGAAGTTTCAAGTTTTTTTATATGCTTTGCTGCCTATTAAATAGATACTCATTTTGAAGCCATGCTTGAGTATTCCTGTATGGCAACCTTGGTAAAGTGTAGGCCTTGAAATCAAAAGGTGCTGAATTCAACTCCTGCAATTTTTTAATCATTTCTATTTCCACAAATTAAAAAAACAAATATGCAAAATGCATGGCAACTGGATTTTTAAGGAATATTTCTACTGAAAAGGATGTACACAAACAGTTCACAGTACACTTGTTTCCTCTAACTTAAATGTATTCTACTGACCTTCTCTGGCTTGGCAGAGCTCCTGATAGTGTGTCCTGAGCCGAGCGATCATTTGTGCTCGGAGATTCTCAATGTCAGGATGCGGAGGAGGGAGGACAGGAGGGGCACGCTCATATATCACAGCATTACTGGGTATATCAAAATTCCAAAATGGGCTGAAAAAGATGTGTAAAATTGAGTACCATTGTACTATTGCTTATAAATATGAGAACAAGAGTACTGCGGAACAATATACGCCCGCCGAATGCCATATATTGTTATATATTTTCTTACATTGAAATAAGATCTGCATCATACTTAGAGTGGTTAGTAGACATGCTATAAAAAAATGTAGGAGAAAATCTCCCGACAAAAAAATCAAATACTGAAATGAACAAAGGGCAATAACTTTTGCAAAAATTATCGAATCAAAATTCTTTTCAAGGAAATAACAACATTTCATGATATACTTTGATACCTGTAAGCAAATGCTGGTCTCTTTGATGGACTGAGTTGTCCCATCTCTGCACTAGCCCGTCGCTTCTCCCCAACTTGTGCTGGAGGAATTTCTATACTGGGTCGAGACAGTCTTACATCCCCAGCAACCTGCGGGGGCACAGATCCTATACCCAGGGGATCACTTAACAAATCTGGTTGTTGCTAAACAAACATGTCATTTTCATGGTTAATTATTTTTTGTACAGATTGAAATACAAAAGTAATATGTGGCTGTGTTTTTTTTTAAAAGGATACTTTCTTCTAAAGTAACTATTAAAATTGGTAAATAGACTGAGAAAGCATGATAAGCAATGCAGTCGGGATGTCCAGTTAAATAAAGACGACATGCCGTGAGTTGAGGATTCAGTGTGTTTTATTGCAATTCCCCATTGAAATGGTATGATTATGATACTGATTGATATCATCGATTTTCTGGCATTAGTTGTTTTGAATGCTATTATACAAATTTCAAGTCAATATTATTTATTCTGTATAGAGGAGCTAGAAAACCTTCTTAAATTATGATTGGTATTAACACATTGATGATGAAACTAGATTTATTCTCAATAGAGTTTGCCAAATTTCAGTTTCTTAGTATGTGGCACAGAATAACTCTGGAATTTGAAGCTCTAGGTTCATTACAACAGGACCAGAACAGGTAGTATAGCGATAGTAGAATTTAGTTTTTGCTTTATTTTCAACATCATGTTAATTTTGTATGCATGTAAATTGCATATTGCAGTTTAAATAAATAGATCATATATAGGAAATAATAGATGCAGTCCTTACTTTATGAAAATAAAATAACTTTGGCATACCGTACAAAAAAAATGTACTGTTACAGAGATTTAGTAAGTAACTTGCTAATGCATGGTTGGTTCTTAAATAATTTCATTTACTTAATGTCTTTCATAAGAAGTCAATATCTGGCAAAAAAGTGTCTACTTACACCACCAATTGGTGGGGGCTGATCCCATAGGGACTCATTGGTGTTTTTATTAAAAAAATATGGTCGTTGTTCTCGTTTGCTCCAGAACTTTCTCCATCCAGCAAGGAGCAGTTCCTCAGGCAGATCATGGACTGGGTCTGGAGACATTGGCTGTTGTGGGGACAATGGAAGCGAGTCTTGTCGGGGGAGCGGCGAGTGGTCGATAGGTGGTGTCATGGTGATGCCATCCTTCGACAATCCTGCAACAGGATCTATAGGTTTCTTCAGTTGGGGGGATCCATTCCCATTGTCACCATTTTGAGAAACTTTTGACTGCAGTTCCATTTTCATCACCTATATTAACAATATGAAAAATGTTTTTAACAAAACATTGACATTAACTCATAGAGGAGTGATATATATGCACATTTGGTTTACATGTGCAGCATTAATCATTTGTCTTCTTTAACATAAACCAGACTTATCGCATATTCAGTTTGGATATAGCCAATATGCTAACAGCACCGAAACTGTCATGTATATCAGCATAAAAAACTATGCCATTGTGATTCATGTACACAGAGGCTGCAGACACAGATTTAACATCTGAACACACAGCTTTTCTCAGTGAATTGTCATCACCTTATGTAGGATTGTAAATGTAATTCAACCTTAGTTTGATGGGTCATTATATATGCTATGTCGAGACATACATGAATAATCACCCAAAGTAAACGTGTCAAATACCAGTTTAAATTGGCTGGTAGAGACATGAACAAATGATAGACAGCTCTGGTGAAAGAATAAGTGTGGCTTTATTTCAACAACATATTTTCAACTACTGTGTAATGTGATTAGGGCAAGTGTTTTTACATATAATTCATTAATGCCATGATCTAATTGCTTAATAGATATCAATTTAACAAGTTCCAGGATTATCAAGTTAATGACCTTGTTTGCATTGGGGGTTATTGATATATATATAAATGGCTATAGCATATATCTGATTTAACCTCTTTTTGATTTGTAAATCTTGCTCATCCTTGTTCACGGATGTGAAACGAGGCAATTTTGACAATTACGTCGTTTATATCCAAATTTGTCTTCGTAGGATATACAAAATCATAAATATCCACTTTTATTAATATTTATGTTGTAACCAATTACATCCTTATAGTGAAAGAAAACTCCAAAGAAGTTTCGAAGTGCCACTACTTGTACTTGCATCCTATTCTTATTTCATTGCACAGAACTCTGAAGGCAGTAACAACATAGACACTGCGAGCACGAAATTTTCTTTCGTGTTCCATGATTTTGCATCCACAGATCGTGAATATATTTTATCACATATAATAAACTAGTCCATCCTCTATAATATGCACTAAAAATATATAACTACTTTCAGTTAACTTCCGCAAACACCGATAAAAACGAGAGACGATCTCTCCCACGGCAAGCGAGATGACGCCATCGGCGGAGTGCTTTAATGAGGTTAATAGAAAAGCTAGTTTACCAATAAAAAATGAAACGAAACGAACTTTGAAATATTGCTTGTATACTATAACGATGACCACAAATAGTACTTAAATATATGGAAAATAAAAGCATAACTATATCAAAATATAAAAATCCAGCGTTATTTGATAGTGTACACATTAAACAAACAATAAATTACTTAGCATTTCGTATGAAGCGTAATTCGTATATTATATAATCCACAAAGTCCCCGGATGGTGAAATACTAAACCCATCTTACTAATTAGCATATTGTATGCAAAACACATATAGACTTGCAGTAGTCCAAATAAACTAAAAACGCATAGGCCTAGTTGTTTGAATTTTGTTAGACCAATATCATTTATTTATATAAAGAAATAATGGTGAAAATACAGTGGCTCCTACTGATATGAATATATATGTATAAAATATGTAATTCACAAGTAAATGTTAGACCAGCTGTAATCTACGAAGTAAAATCTAATGTCTATATATTACTTATTTCAGGTTTATCAGTTTAATTTGGCACAACATATACTACCTTGGTTTTTGTGTGTTAGGATAAATAAAAAATGATCATTTGTAATAAGAAAACTGTCTATTAAAAAAAAAAATGCATTTAAGTTTTTGACTTGAACAAAATATTTCAGATTTTTTGGTTAAAATAAGGACTTTTGTGCAAACACTACACCAAGAGCTATTTTACAGACATTCCATAAAAAATTATGATCCTCGGGTATTTTGACATGGAAGAATTTAGTCACCATTTTACATAAAATTTATCACTTTGAATTATCAACGAAAAACCCTATTGTTTTTATAACAAGAGGCCCAAGAGTTCTGAAAATGCTCATCTTTTTTAAGTGGTCTTTCTTAACATAATCTAGCTTCTAAGCATTATGTTTCAGATACTCAAATATAACGACTCGAGTCATTTATAGTTCTTAGAAGTCAATGGAGTATCTAAAAAATTGACCCCTGTGACCTTGAACATAGGACAAGGTCATTCCATATATCAGTGACACAAGTTTTGTTGCACCATGCTCATTTCAGCAAGCTATTCAGACCAAATACATTATGTATCAGGGGAGTTGGTTGGGTATTTAAACATGTTTGTCTCCAGTGACCTTGCATATGGGTCAAGTTAATTTCTTTTTTGCAAATTTATGGCACTACGTTTCAGTAAGCAACTCTACTGGCATATACATGTATCAAGACTCTAGGTGTTTTTGTTCAGAGGAGGATGCCATTAAGTGTTTACCCAGAGTTGATCATGCTAATCTTGTATATGGGTCAATATCAAGTTAAAAAAATAAAAATAAAATTGTAACCTTTAAGCTTCTGATCAAATATCATTACTTCTTCCAAAAGATTCGTTGCTTGGGTATTTCCACAAATTTGACCCATGTGCCCTTGAATATGGTTCAAGTCCATTCATTTTACAAAATTTTTAGCACGTACTGACCGTGCCATAATATAATGGCCACATATTGACCTCTGGATTTTGACTTCCTTAAAAAGAGTTATTGGATCTTAACAGAGTTGACCCTTTGTTACCTTGAATATAGGTCAAGGTTAATTCATTTCCCAGCTTGCTAGTACTTAATGCCAGCAAGCTACATGTACATATATTTGGGGCCTCTTGGTGTCTCAGAAGAAGGTACTGGAATGTTTAACAGATATGACCCCTGTGTGACCTTGAATATATTCTTTTTTTTAACTTTGTACATGAATACTTCATACCAGTTATATCGATCATGATTCTAGGGTCTTTGGTTTTGTCAAATTTTTTGAGATATCCTGTTGAAACTCAAAGGTGCTCTGAAATGGAGATATTTGGGCACAGTTTCCATGACAACTTCTTGGAGAAGATCTTGATTAACCCCATGTTAGATTTTCTGTCTATTGGACTGAAAGTCATTACAACAGTAAATGCATCTTGTGGTAACTTTTGATGTAACGTCATATAGCTGTCTTTGTCATTGTCTTTTCACAGTTAAGCTGTTGTCCGACAAATTTATTAAAATAATAATGTTTACAAAATAGCGCAGAAGAGAGATTATCCTGCAGCCATAATTTTCTCCTGGTAAAGCAGCCTAAAACACAAAACGAAATATGCTAAACTATAGAAAGAAAAACCTACTGATGAAATTTGTTAAACATACATGTATTACTATAATTTCAGAGGAACAGCGATAACAAACTTCAATGGTCAAATATAACATGTCTGCTTGGTGGCAATATTTTATGTAATCATGCTGCAAATTAAACATGCATTACTAAAAAGTAAGTAAAGAAGAGTCTAGATTGAAACTTTGAAAGATCCTTATGAAACTTTCTGATGTAATGGCAACGACAAAACTCCAAATGACTACATGGTAGCTGTCTTGTTCTTGTGATAAATTCTGAAAGCTCTGCTCTGTAATTGATTCATGTGGGAATTCTAATGATATATCTGTATGGTTTTTTTTAGGTATAAACTGAGAAACAGTTATACACAGATGGTCATACCTGCTTGTATATCCCTTGCCAACTTTGTTGGGTGGGGAATGAAAAATTGTATAAATCATCATCTACATTAATATTCCTAACAAATCACATCATGCAATGCATTTTACAGAATTATAGTTGTTGAATATTCAAGTAGATGCAAAAGAGACAAAGAAAAAAATACAACTAGGGTCAAATTGTGGACCAGTATATCTAATGACAATCCTACAACAACAGATGTTGTTATCTAGAAATTATCAATGCCCAGCATCAAAAAGAGAGCTGGATAGTAGCTCTAAACCATGAACACTCATTTCTGATGCTTCATTTTCTATATAGACTAACATATTGTCAAAATGTGAATAAAGTGTAAGTTTTCAAAACAAATCACCACTGTCAAAAATAAGAAATACAAACATTATGACTGATCACAATTTTTAATCCATGAGTATCAAGGTAAAGTATAACAGTTTATGAACAATAACACTAAATCACAAAACATGATTATCTTAAATAGGATTGATTACCCTTAGGACTTTCAATAGCGAGTTTCTTTTAGACTCCACAAAACAGCTTTGACTTTTGGATATCAATTTTACATATATTTTGACTCTCCAAAATTCAGGAAAAATTCTATTGGGCTTCTGAAATTACTTAGTATCACAGGTCAATTAAAAGTCCTGCCCCTTCCAATCAACTGGCATCTCACATAAAAGGTACATGCCTATATATTGTACATCTATTCACACTAGTATATGCTAGCTTTTATCCCGTTGTTGATACAACAAATCTCGAGCCTCTTCAGCATTTAAGTTCATAATGTTAATGAGTTCATTTGTCAAAGTATATGTCTTCCCTTTCCAACGGAACTTGGTAGGTGGGTTATTTTCTCCATTCTCAAATTCAAAATTCTGACTGATTTCAATGGCAATGCTAGATTTGACAAGCCCTATTCCACCTAGAGCGGAGGCTGCAGGATGATAGACACGTCCAGTGTTGGGTAACATACAAATTCTCTGAGGTTCAAACTGAACAGTCAGTGAAGATCCAGCTCCTCCGTAAGACAAGAGGTTATGGTCATCAGGGGATGGAGTATCTACAATATGGGTGTAAACAATAGGTCTATCATCACACCTGATAAAGTTACGTTCTCGTCCACACAGTGATAAAAATGGGAAGTCTTCTCTGTACCTGGAGGACTCATTCAATCTTAATCTTTTGAAGAAAAAAGCCAGGAAATCTTTCTCTGTAAACAGAAATATGACAGAACTAGAAAATGAGAAATCACAATTATAGGACATACAGTTAAAGTCTTTACCAGGCCAGAATGTTGACCTGGTAAAATGTAAGTATGAAATGTGATGTGATGTGTTTATGTAAATAAACCCCCTTTAAATATCATAAATATATGTTATATGAAGTTATCACATTTGACCACTGTGACCTTGAACGTAGGTCTAATTTTAATTCAACCAATGTGACTGTCCCTTAACCCTACATACCAATTATTACTTTAGGTCTCATTGTTCATGAAAAGAAGTTATATGAAGGCTTTAACAAATTAAGTTCAAGGTTGTTCGCGGAAATAAAATTGATAACCTGTCACCCAAGCAAACTACATGCTCAGTTACATGACCCTAATCATAGTTATTTTGGAGTTTTGATTAAAGTTAAAAAAAATAATCATAGATGAATGAAATTGCAACAAGGCTTGTGAACTAAAACCTGAATAAACAATCAAAATGGGACAATTTGTATATATAAGAGTTTAAATGACTTCTCGTACATTATTTCTGAGTTTGACCTTCATCTACAAAATCTATTTTACAAGGGCTTCAGAGGTTAAATATACTTAGCATGGTCTTATCATGTAAAACATCTACTGAAATGGATCTACAACTCCATAAAGAAAGGAATGTGACAAGTTCGTACAATGAGTTCATGGAGTGAGGTATGAATGATTTAGTTATTAGATTGATATCCAAATGTATGTTTATCATACTATCAACTTACCCTTAAAACATGAAGTGAAATTTTTCATCTTTGAATCATCAAGAAAGAGCTGTTAAAGACAAAAAGAAATATACTGTATGTTACATACCTGATATATTACACTCGTCTATTGTTTCTTAGTTTGATAATATTTGGATTATACTAAAGTAATTTAACCCTTAGGTGATACTTTATGTGACAAGAATTTCGTAGATTGCTATATATAGCCATGTCAACTTTGTCAGTCAGTCAATGTACACATTTTACAAAGAACAATTAATGGCATCATGATAAAATGTTTGATTCGTATTTACAAACAGTTTTCTAACATTCTCTGTCACATACCTTAAGACTTTTTTTCAGAAATACTCCAAGATGCATCATGAATATTGCAATTAAATGCAAAAATTTGACAGCTGTGCCATCACAAGCAAAATGTCTTAGTCTTATTTTGTTGCTTTTTTGCTAACTTCATTGAAAACCCCTCAAAAAAAACCCTTCAATTCACATACTTGTCTCGAGAAATCCTAACGCACATGCGGCTACGATGTATATAAGTTTTTAAAAAGTTAGCAATTTACTTTTTCTCTTTCTCCTGTTAAATCATATATCTTTTTGTCTATTGTTTTTTACTTCAGAAACACATACATATAAATTATATAGGAAGCATTTTGATATTATTCAGTTTTTAAATGAACTTGCATGATTATTTTTTGCAGGGACAGATCGAGTTATATTTCACATATTTTCATTTTTTTATTATTACTACCTTCATTTTTACCATGGACATTTTTTATATACACAAGATCACAAGTGACACAAAGAAAGATTTTGACTGAAGATTATTTCTGTCAGGGACAGTATATATATACATTATACATCCCTGTTTCTGACAGTTGTAATTTTCTTCATGTTGACGTCAGTCGATTCATGATCTTTTTACACCAGGGTCTGACTCGTACTGTGCATTACTTTTTGAAGTGAGTGTGAAATGAGTTTTTTAAATTTTGACACAGGGGCAAATCGACTCAGGTTGGTGAAATATCTTATACCATCCACAAAATCTATAATTTGTTAGGTTGACGTCTCAAGACATATTTTAATTTAACACTTGATTAATTGATGCAACTATTTTGAAGCAATTTCTATCAACGATTGTATACATAAAGATATATTTTCACTGTCAAAACTAGCTGAGATAACGTAGCTTTCTGACGACGAGATATTTTCTTTATATATTGCGGGGCAGAGGAGGCCGGGTATTAATATTAGTACTATGTCAAAGCAGGTTCCGGGTTGTTTCGCCCGAAATCCCGGTCGTCCTAGGTTGTTTCGCCCCAAAACAATTTCTTTAGGGCGAAAATTGTTTGATATTTTCTTTCAAATTAAGTAGTTTTAAGTCACAAATTAAGTCTTCTTAGTCTTCCATTAAATTTAAATACATTTTATAAAAAGAAATGTGTTTTTGTTGTTTTTTAAGCGAGTGTGACAAACGGCAGCTGTGAAACACTCACACGTACATATCTAATAACAATAGGGAGAGTTATCAATAAGTTTAGTTGATATATTTAAATATTAATTATCATATAAGCGAATAAATTAACAAAATATTCTTAGGGCGAAACAACCTAGAGTGAACAGGATTTAGGGCGAAACAACCCTTAGCGCGAACGGGATTTAGGGCGAAACAACCAGTTACCACAGCATGTACAAATCCCTGTGACCGTGTAAAGCAGCCGGCGAAGCATTCATACCTGGCCTTGGTGGTCAATGAAGTAGAAATATTCCCTAATTTTTGGTTCAGGTGATTGACCCTGTATATAATGTACACATCGACACCATATTTTAGGTTGACAATATTTGTTGACATTGGATTTCAGTCTTGAAAGATTCATGATATAAGTTTTGTTTTCATCGGAAGTTGAATTCATGTTTTGTCATGCGCAATAACTTAAAATCGTCAGGTGAAACAAACTCGGTGATTGGCCGGATGCCTCTTTCCGTTTTCAGTTTACCCAATCAACAAACCCGATACATTAAAGTCTCAGCCATATTTCCCCGATGAGCACTTTTAACAAATGACATGCCTTTTCAGCCTCAAGAAATACACTTTTAAGACCAAGTAATCAACAATGGATCAAGAAATTGTGACGGAATGAATGATATTTTACGTTTCCACGGAGAAACCAGTCACTGTGCCTAAAGGAATTGTATTGAACTGAAAATGTCACATACGAAAAGAGCATGGAAACTCCGTAAGTCAGTAAAGCAAACGATCTACACTGGTTACCAATATTCACCCTTGCCTAAATTAAGCGAAACCGAATCAGCAGGGTTACTATTTCTCTAGTTTGGGACTGGTAGACTTCAGCAACCTAGACTTACTAACTCAGATTGCTGGTTTTACTTGTAAAGGTTCACTTTGTGTACATATTGCACAACGAAACTTTCTGTAAGAACTTCAGCAGTACTGTAATATTGTTTGTTAATTGTCAACATTTGTTATAACGTAATCATATTTCATCTAAATCAAAAGGGTTTATGTCCGCAGTAGTCATAGTTGATGTTTTTTTTTATTTCGTGATAGGATGTTAGTTGTTTGATACCTAGTCCTCAATCAAGTCACTGTCACTGAGACATAGGACTAGTGGTTTGGTTCAGAACCCATTGCCTTCCTCATCTGGGCAAATGCTCAACATTAAGGCCAAAAGTGAGGTATTGCCAAACAAGACGCTAGGAAATAGAAGGTAGTTAGAACTAGTAAAGGATCTTTTCAACTAGTCCTACAGTCCAGCTCCAGATGATTGGGGTAATCATATCTAGGACTAAGCATACATCAAACTAGGAGTGTCTGTGGCTCCAAGGAAATTGCTGGACCTGCAGGCATCTTTACATCTTACCCTTGACGTGTCGTGAGCTGGCCATAGACTACTAGAAAATATTAACTTCAATTATTTTACAAAAAAAATAAAACATTTTTTTGTCAACTAGTTTTAAACACTCATGTTGGCCTGGATGGTAGCATGCAGTGGGTCTTAACGTGTATGTGAGAGGAAACAAGAGTACCCAGAGAAAAGTGGTTGTGGAGGTGACCTCATACCTTTTCACATCTGCTCAGTGGATTCAAACCCTGACTGTCATGGTAAAATGAGAGTGTGCTTTCCACTGCAGTGCACCAGACAACCACCTCAATAGTAGTCCTGCAGTGTTATGTGTAAGACCGTTCCCTGAGTCAATGGCATGATGCAGTCATGTTTGACCCATCAGATCACGCTCAAATATACAAACTGATGTATTTTTATTTTTTCACCAGAGAAGAAGTAGTTTTAGTGTTTTTGGCAATGTCAATATCTTTTTTGAGATGAATACAAACCACTGTAATTAACACAATAACTTTGAAAATTCTTAGCAGTAGCTAATGAAATTGAACATCTCACACACTTTTCGACTGAAGCAGCATACACTAATATTCAGATTGTGACGTATCAAAAATCTGGAAAAATGTATCGTGAATCGAACATAAATAATCGCGGTACAAGTGCATCGCGTTGAATCGTGATGCCTCTATTTAGCAGGGATTAATTTGGATTCAAACACTTTGCCAATCAAGAATATCAGAAGTGAAAGTTGACCTGAATAGGGGAAGTGGTAGCAGTTTCTATAAGATATTTTCTGCATTTTGACAGCTATCTATAAACTATGATCAATGTTTAAACTTTACTTTATAATAAAAAATGATACAATTACCTTATTCAGGCTTTGTTCAACGAGATTACAACTGTTATATGACATAAAATGGTGACAATCTCTGATCTTAGCATTGACAATATGAGGCATGGCTCAGGTTAATTTGTTTCTGATGCAGAGTTGCCTAAAGAAATTTATGTGGGTGATAGGAGTCAGCCATCTTACTTGTCGTCAACAAGAGTCCCTCGGCCAATTGCAAAAGCCTATTGCAGTCAATATACCATGTTCATTTGTTAAGTCAGTGACCGAACCTAAAATATTTTTGCTACAGATTTTATATATACACATACTTACAGTACAATTTAAAATGATCTGGCATAATGATTTATGGTTATATCGGCTCAAGGTAAAAACGGCCTCGATTTACCAAAATGAAATCGGCCCAAGGTAAAATTGGCCATATGTATACATGGAATATACATTAATGCTATAATAATCCCTTTCTTTGGGTTTCATTTATATATCAACCTCTGAACATATATATTTAAATTAATAAATTCCTTTCTGCATTTCCTTGTCTCAGTCGCGAGTTCCACAAGGGGAGGTAACCTGTACTAATGTAATCTGTTATATACATCGCGTAAGATAGTTATCATTTTGTGTGTAATCTGAAACACTGACATTATTTAATTAGATTTAATTATTCGAATGATTATTTTTTATATGATTAATGAGGAAGTTAGCCGATGCATACAGTCTGGTAGGCGAACATCATTGTTTGTGTAAGGCAGAGACGTATATACGTCTCTGTGTAAGGCAATAAAAACAAAACAACACCAGTACGTAATTAAATAAATCCTTTAATGTATTTGTTTAAATATAATTCTACTTATAAATGTATAAATCCCATGTATTTAACATATAGATACATAGTAGGGCCGATTTTAACTTTGGCCGATTTCACTTGGGTAAAATAGGCCTGGCCGATATTACCTTGGGCCGATATAACCAAATACCGGCATAATAGTAACTGAAGTATAAACTTCAAAAATTATATCAGATCAAATTTATATTCACTACAGGTTCTAGTTGTTTTTAGCTGAAGTTATATTTTTCATAAAATTACCTTACTTATTAACCTGAAGCATTTCAAACGTATGTCTGTAAAAAGATGATGTTGGTAGCGCAATATCCAATCTTTGTATTATGTCCAGTTATTACAAAGACCTAAAACACATGTCTAGTGACATTAAAATACACTAAAGAGCTTATGGCCTTCTACCATCAGTATTTTTTGTCTAAATACTATCTACAAAACTTGTTGCATTGATATTGTGTTAAATTTGAATCTCTGAATGGTCAAGTTTATTTATTTGCTCACACCGTTGAAAGAGTCTTGTCTTCATTGCTCATAACATGCATATGAATGGTTATAATCATGTGACTTACAACTTTTGGGTATTGATTTTCGGAGAAATGAGTTCAGTGTTTCACAATTCATGGGAAATCATTAATTATTACCAAAACATATATGTATATATGTTCTAAAAGCACAGCCATTGACATGTTAACATGAGATGTTTCAGCGATTTTAGTGCAATTTGTACTTGGGTCACCTTTCTCAGACCAAGTACAAATGGCTATGCTTTAAGTGTATACACTTTGATGCATGTTAAACTGTATGAAATGACTATTGTTCAAAAGTCATTGAAATGTCACAGGAATATTTGACATAATCATTGCTGTGAACATCATTAAGCTCTCACTAAGAATAAACTACCGGTATTGATCACTGCTTTAAAGTAGCAATAGCCCTCTGAAACAGCTGGGCATGACCACCATCACATGTCGGCAATCTTCTTTGCTTTTACCACAGTAACTCACAGTGACATCATGATCACAGTGTCTAAACTTGAAAATAAAAGCAATAATCCACATTGCAAATTTTATGACATAGCATAACTACTGGAACGATCTTTTTTAAAAATGGTATGCAAATTCCAGATCAGTTGTCAGTTGGTTGCTTTAATCCAACTCCCACCCCCACCCCATTAAAAAAAGAAAAGACATGACATTATTTCAACTCATTTCAACAGAAAAACGATTGTTTCTTTTGAGGTTTACTTTTATTGCATCATCTTGAATAAAGTTCTTGCATATCAGTCACATTTTCAGAAAACAAAAATATACTTGGCAAATTCCTCACCTTTTAGGGAATATGAATAACATAGTTAAATTTATTCATATGTGAACTTTGAAGTGGACTGTTTGAGGGCATTGAGTTTTTTTCAAGACTAAATCCAATCTGTTTTTTTCTCTCTTAAAATATTCCTATTAGGTACCGTACATTAGTACTGCTACTGTATCTACCATTAAAACAAAATTATCATAAGTTGTATTGATTATTTCAGAGGAGTTTGTAGCACATGCTGCCAATGTAAACTGCCTTGCTATAGGACACAAGTCTGGGCGGGTAATGGTGACCGGAGGAGAAGACCGGAAGGTCAACTTGTGGGCTGTAGGCAAGCCCAACTGTATTATGGTAAGTGCCCAGTCTTGGTTTGGAAAAGAAGAAAAAGTATTTGATATCGGTGTACCTGTATAAATCCTGGGTCAAGTTGTGTCATAGTGTTTACTGAAACCAGGTTTGTTTGCCTCAAAACACACACAAGCATGCATTTTTGATGTTACTTCATCCAAATTGTTTGATTTTGTGTTTTTACATCACATGAATCATCACATCATTTATTGGGTTATACTTATTGATGCAAAATATTGTTTTATCCAGTCTAGTGATTGTCATTTGATTAGGAGCTGGCTATAATAACTGTTGTTTGGTTATGATGAATTATTGACATTTTAAGTGGGTTTAATAATTAAAACTTATATAACATAGATATATAAGTGCGGTTTATGAACTAAGACAAGTCTAGTTGTCATGTGCTATACTGGTTTCTATATATATATATATATGTAAGTAAATACGAGCGCTGATTGGTCAGTCTGGTCACGTGATTGGTCAAGCAAGTGTACGAGCGCTGATTGATCAGTCTGGTCACGTGAGTGGTCACAGTTTTCAGCAACTTTCAGCATCTCGGAGTTTATTTTTGCGCCAACAAAATTTGCTATTTTAATAAGAAGTTTCTGACGTATTCAACTTCTTAGCTGCTCCCATGGATGCTTTATAAACGGTGACATATTAATTTTAACTTTTAGTAGTTTTGTGAGTCTTTACATAAGACAAACTTGTTTGATTCGTGATGAAGAGACAGTGTCGACTTTTCTGATTTCGGACAATGGCTACTAGGGGAAAACGATCGAGATCGATCAGTACATCGTACGACATGGAAAACCCTAGTAACTGGACAGTTGGCATTTATAGACAGAAATTACAGGAAATTGGGATATGGACACCGGCATCAATGTCCAAGGCAAATTTAAAAGTGTTGTATTGCGAGAACGTGAAGCGACAGGGGTATTTCAGCTGTGGCATACCACATCTTCATTTGGGCAATTTACATCATTATGTAATTCGTAAGTCCCCCAAGAATTTCATTCATGCTAATAATACGTATACAGTGCTTCCTTCAAGTCACTTGGCTCGGCCATCTACAAATGATATGCACACCTTGATTTTAGTATGCCTTACAGATGGCCGGGTCAAATCTTGAATAGTAGTTTACATACACCACAGCTGTTATGACCCTTTAGCCCAAAAAATTAGTATTAATTGTTTAATAAAATTCATGTGATAATTTTATTTGTAATCTGCCTTCGAGTCTTTTGTTCATAAATTAAAATAAAGAAACAACTTGGAGACTTTAATAATAATCTTACTTATTTTACACATTTGTTTTCAGAGTCTAACAGGGCACACGACTCCAGTGGAGGCTGTACGCTTTGGCCACGAGGAGGAAATCGTTGTAGCAGGATCTGTTTCTGGAGCTCTTAAAATATGGAATCTAGAGGAAGCAAAAAGTAAGCTGGTATAGCCAACCCTGTTTAACGAACCAAAAGGTGACCTCAGAAATTTGTTAACTATAGTTTCACTATTTGATGTTCATATGGTACTTTGTTGTGGTGTCTGTCAGTGTCATTCTTCGATTCTCAGGCTATACCTGTTATACTTTTTCCCCCTACAGTCGCCATCTTTTGTATGCAAGTACCTCTTGGCATGGCATAATGTCACTTAGATTTGGTCACATGCCCCAATATATAGATAGATAGCCCTTTGTTCACAGTGCATACATTGTCTTTGGCATATGTTGCATAGTGTCACATCAATTTAAAAAAATAATTATGTGATAACTTTTATCTTCATCCAAAAACAAAATGGCCTTTTGTTTACCAATGCAAGCTCTTCTTTCCCTACACTTTAAAGTTCTCTGAATTGAAAAAAAGAAATTGTAGAAATGATCATCATAATGGGAAGGAACAATCTGTATCTTGAGTACATGGATACTGAATACTTTCTGTTTATCTCTGTATGTAGACAAAACATGAATAATAAGTGTTTTTTAAGCCGCTCTTGGCGAGAGCCAAACAGCTTATTAATTCTGTCCAGAGAACGAAATGACGGACCCACTTCCGTTCGGGGTGTGTTTGCATAATTCTGTCTTGCATGCTTCCGCTATATAGTTTCGTTATCGTAAATAGAAAGTAGAATCTCTGACACTCACCTGTGGGTCAAATAAAGTCTTCTGATACTCATCTCCAAATGATAATCCATACTTTAAATAATTGCTGAAAACAAAGTGTTTATCTCCGTTGCATTCTACGAGTGTTGTGGTGGTGAAATTTGTGCACTTGGTTTGAGCGTTTTAGCAACTCGGATTGAGGTCTGAGGAGGTTTACGCGTGTGAAACACATATGATTTGAGAAAGCACATGTGAAGACTGACAAGCATTGACGCTGTCTGTAAAAGGAAGAAGTAAATATATATACTTATAAACCGTATGAGTGATGAAGTATGACCTTTATTTTGATGTTTCAAACGGGAACATAATATGACTTCTCGTGCTTAGGTTGATAACGGCACGGACTAAGATAACTAATTCCGTGATAACGGTAATGGCTCCGAGACGAGACGATATGTGAACCGTGTATGCCTATCAAACATTTCTGTAACACAGCATGCTTTTTCTGGTGTATTTATTATGAAAATGTAACAATTTAAGAACATGCCACAACTGCCGCTGCTGTTGGACAAGAATTCGCGCCGTGAGATTTGTGAGATTTTTCAATGACAGTAAATAAAGTCACTACATATATTAATGACTATTATTAATATGAATAAAAATTAAATAAAAATAAAAGGAGTACAATGTTTTTTTCTCCATGCATGTTTCCACTACTGTTAATTAAGAACACATATCTGAGGTATTATAGTAGATATTGATGCTCAATGTGTTACTGAAGCAATTAAATTTAAATTGGTGAGCGGCTTTAATGTCACACTGACATAATTCTAGTTTAATGATAAATGCCAGTGTTCAGAATTATGTTTTAGTAGAGTATTGTTGAGGAATGTACATTTTGGTGATCATTTTTACAACATGGTTCTTTATCAAACTGTCAATAATATTTCTTTCCGTCAGTGCTTATGTGTATATTATGTATATTTATTATAACATCACTAATGTTGTTAACACACATCTCGATGACAACACTCCTTGAATAACATTATTTCGTTTGACCTTACATTGAAAAAGATGTGTTTCAAACATGTTCACCTTTCATTCATGTCCATTACACGAAGTACAATTAACTTCTTTAAGTTAATATTGACTAAACATTTCCTGATTTTGATTTCAGTCATGAGAACACTTACTGGTCACAATGCAAGCATTAGGAGTCTTGATTTCCATCCATTTGGAGACTATGCTGCTTCAGGATCTATGGACTGTAATATAAAGGTAGGCAGACATTTAAGATCTAAAATTTCATCTACACTGTCCCGTTTTGTGTTGTCTCCCCTTTAACCTGCCTTATCTCCCCTTCATCTCTTGTTTCCTGTTTCATCTACATTGTCACCTTTTCAATTTAAGTACTTTTTCTCTCCTTTGATCTTTGATGTGCATTGTGTCCCTTTGCAGCTATGGGATATACGACGAAAGGGCTGCATCTACACATACAAGGGCCACACTAGCAGTGTGAACTGTGTACGCTTCAGTCCTGATGGCAAGTGGATAGCATCAGCCAGTGATGATGGATTAGTTAAGGTAACTATGAAAAAATGTAACAAGGATTACAGTTAAAAATTAATATAGAAAATTCAGATTGTAACATAAACAAAACAAAATCAAAGGATATGAAGTTTGTTGCTTAGGTTGTTGATCGCTTTGTTTTTATCAAACCCAAAAAATGAACGTCTGTTGTTGTCAAAACACAAACAATGATATTAGTTAAGTCAGATTTTATTTAATAACTGCATAGAGAATAAGCAACCAAGCTTAGAGCTTATCATGATTCCTGTTGATGACATATTTGACTTAACAAAATAATAATAAGACTTAAGTTTGATGTGCACTACACATACATTTCCTTATAGATGTGGGACATCACAGCTGGTAGAATGCTTACAGAGCTTACAGAACACACAGGACCAGTGAATGTGGTAGAGTTCCACCCCAATGAACTGTTGATTGCCTCAGGCAGCTCTGATAGGTGAGTACAAATATTTTAACAGGATTTATACCGCCAAGCTTCGCTCTATACAAGATACAAGAAGCTTTATTTAGTGTAGTATATGGCATAACATTGAACATTAGCTCTGTGGAGCTATTTTTATGACAACCATAAGTATAAAAACAGAGTAATAACAAGGTAAAAGGCATGCTAGTAGAAAAGGTAGGATTTTGCAGCAAAACTATATACACTGAACTACTAAAATAATCAGAAAACAGTTTGATGATAGCACATGCATGTTAAAAGCAAGAACAGTACTAATTATAACATAAGCATAAATCATATAAAAACATATCAGGTTTACATATATTTCATATATATCACAGATGGTTAATACAGTACTTTATATTGGAAAATGATGGAATAAAATACTCAGATAAAGTAATGTAAAGTAAGAAGCAAAATAAAAGCAAAATATGAAATTATCAAAAAAATAAACCATGAGCTAAAAGTTTGAATTGTCTGTTTTAACATGATGTGTCATTGTTGTTGATGCTTTTTATCACATTACTCCTGCTTTGTTTCAGAACTGTAAAATTCTGGGACCTAGAGACATTTAAGATGGTATCTACAACAGACGGAGATTCCTCCCCTGTCAGGTGATTTACAAATGATGATGTTAAAACTCTATGGTGTTTATGTCGTCGGCTCATAAAGCTTGGTTACGATTCATTAATCAGGCCAAAGTTGAATTTATAAATTCCATGCATCTCATGGGTGCGCCATATGAATAGAGAGCTCTGTAAAAGTTCTCTTTCCTGTTGACACTTTGGGTTATGTCAGTGTAATGTTGATAGGTAATGTCAGTGTAATGTTGATAGGTTATGTCAGTGTAATGTTGATAGGTTATGTCAGTGTAATGTTGATAGGTAATGTCAGTGTAACGTTAATGATTTATGTCAGTGTAATATTGGTAGGTTATGTCAGTGTAACATTTGGTGGGTTATGTCGGTGTAATGTTGATAGGTAATGTCAGTGTAATGTTAATGATTTATGTCAGTGTAATATTGGTAGGTTATGTCAGTGTACCATTTGGTGGGTTATGTCGGTGTAATGTTGATAGGTAATTTCAGTGTAATGTTAATGATTTATGTCAGTGTAATATTGATAGGTTATGTCAGTGTAACATTTGCAATTTATGTCAGTGTAACTGACATTGGTAGGTTATGTCAGTGAAACATTGGTAGGTTATGTCAGTGTAATATTCGTTATTTATGTCAGTGTTATATCGGTAATTTATGTTAGTGTCACGTTGGTAGGTTATGTCAATGTAACATTGGTATGTTATGTCAGTGTAACATTGGTAGGTTATGTCAGTGCCACATTGGTAGGTTATGTCAGTATACAGTAGTATTGGTAGGGTATATCAGTATACAGTAATATTGGTAGGTTATATCAGTATACAGTAATATTGGTAGGTTACATCAGTATACAGTAATATTGGTAGGTTATGTCGGGGTAACATTGGTAGGTTATGTCTGTGAAGTAACATTGGTACTTTACGTTAGTGCAACATTGGTAGGTTATGTCAGTGTAACATTTGTTATTTATGTTAGTTTAACATTGGTATTTTATGTCAGTGCAATTTTGGTAGGTTATGTCAGTGTAACATTGGTAGATTATGTTTGTGAAATGTTGGTAGGTTATGTCAGTGTAACATTTGCAATTTATGTCAGTGTCACTAACATTGGTAGGTTATGTCAGTGAAACATTGGTAGGTTATGTCAGTGTAACATTCATTATTTATGTCAGTGTTACATTGGTAATTTATGTCATTGCAACATTGGTAGGTTATGTCAGTGTAACCTTGGTAGGTAATGCCAGTGTAACATTGCTTATTTATGTCAGTGTTACATTGGTCATTTATGTCAGTGTAACATTGGTAGGATATGTCAGTGTAACATTGGTAGGTTATGTCAGTGTCACATTTGCAATTTATGTCAGTGTAACTAACATTGGTAGGTTATGGCAGTGTAACATTGGTGGGTTATGTCAGTGTTACATTTGCAATTTATGTCAGTGTAACTGACATTGGTAGGTTATGTCAGTGAAACATTGGTAGGTTATGTCAGCGTAACATTCGTTATTTATGTCAGTGTTATATCGGTAATTTATGTTAGTGTCACGTTGGTAGGTTATGTCAATGTAACATTGGTATGTTATGTCAGTGTAACATTGGTAGGTTATGTCAGTGTAACCTTGGTAGGTAATGCCAGTGTAACATTGCTTATTTATGTCAGTGTTACATTGGTCATTTATGTCAGTGTAACATTGGTAGGATATGTCAGTGTAACATTGGTAGGTTATGTCAGTGCAACATTGGGAGGGTATGTCAGTATACAGTAATATTGGTAGGCTATATCAGTATACAGTAATATTGGTAGGTTACATCAGTATACAGTAATATTGGTAGGTTATATCAGTATACAGTAATATTGGTAGGTTATGTCGGGGGAACATTGGTAGGTTATGTCTGTGAAATGTTGGTAGGTTATGTCAGTGTAACATTTTGTGGGTTATGTCAGTGTAATGTTGATAGGTAATGTCAGTGTACCGTTAATGATTTATGTCAGTGTAATATTGGTAGGTTATGTCAGTGTGACATTGGTAGATTATGTTTGTGAAATGTTGGTAGGTTATGTCAGTGTTACATTCGTTATTTATGTTAGTGTCACATTGGTAGGTTATGTCATTGTAACATTGGTAGGTTATGTCAATGTAACATTGGTAGATTATGTCAGTGTAACATTGGTGGGTTATGTCAGTGTAACATTTGCAAGTTATGTCAGTGTAACATTTGTTATTTATGTTAGTTTAACATTGGTATTTTATGTCAGTGCAATATTGGTAGGTTATGTCAGTGTAACATTGCTAGGTTATGTCAGTGTAACATTCATTATTTAGGTCAGTGTTACATTGGTAATTTATGTCATTGCAACATTGGTAGGTTATGTCAGTGTAACATTGCTAGGTTATGTCAGTGTAACATTCATTATTTAGGTCAGTGTTACATTGGTAATTTATGTCATTGCAACATTGGTAGGTTATGTCAGTGTAACATTGGTAGGTTATGTCAGTGCAACATTGGTAGGTTATGTCAGTATACAGTAATATTGGTAGGTTATATCAGTATACAGTAATATTGGTAGGTTATGTCGGGGTAACATTGGTAGGTTATGTCTGTGAAATGTTGGTAGGTTATGTCAGTGTTACATTCGTTATTTATGTCAGTGTAATGGCCCATTTTCCCTAATTATTAGAGCTTTGAGGTGGTTTTTTTTAGAAAATTTATTAGGTATTCAGTTTGTAAAATTTACAATGTGAAAGCAAATTTAGTGCTGGCCAAATTAAATTTAAGTAATTTAATTTAACCTTTTAAATTTACTTTTAAGGTATAAATATGGAGTTAATTCCTGATGAAGAAAACTGTATTGTGACAAATTATATTAAATCAATATGTTATGAAATGTACCAACTCTTACAGTAAGTGTAGCTTTTTATACGCCCGTCGAAGACGGGGACGTATTATGTTATCACGTGAGCGGGCGGGCGGGCAAACGATGTCCGCTCGATATCTCGAGTAATTATTAACGGATTAACTTCAAACTTCACAACAAGGTTGATTACCATGAAACCTCGGACAAGTTCGATAACCGCCATTATCCGACCATAATTTCTGGAGTTATGCCCCTTTACTGATTTGCCGAAACAGTGTCCGCTCGATATCTCGAGGAATTATTAACGGATTAACTTCAAACTTCACAACAAGGTTAATTACCATGAAACCTCGGACAAAGTAGATAACCGCCATCATCCAACCGTAATTTGTGGAGTTATGGTCCTTTATGGACTTGCCGAAACAGTGTCCGCTCGATATCTCGAGTAATTATTAACGGATTAACTTCAAACTTCACAACAAGGTTAATTACCATGAAACCTCGGACAAGTTCGATAACCGCCATTATCCGACCATAATTTGTGGAGTTATGCCCCTTTATGGACTTGCCGAAACAGTGTCCGCTCGATATCTCGAGTAATTATTAACGGATTAACTTCAAACTTCACAACAAGGTTAATTACCATGAAACCTCGGACAAGTTCGATAACCGCCATTATCCGACCATAATTTGTGGAGTTATGCCCCTTTATGGACTTGCCGAAACAGTGTCCGCTCGATATCTCGAGTAATTATTAACGGATTAACTTCAAACTTCACAACAAGGTTAATTACCATGAAACCTCGGACAAGTTCGATAACCGCCATTATCCGACCATAATTTGTGGAGTTATGCCCCTTTATGGACTTGCCGAAACAGTGTCCGCTCGATATCTCGAGTAATTATTAACGGATTAACTTCAAACTTCACAACAAGGTTAATTACCATGAAACCTCGGACAAGTTCGATAACCGCCATTATCCGACCATAATTTGTGGAGTTATGCCCCTTTATGGACTTGCCGAAACAGTGTCCGCTCGATATCTCGAGTAATTATTAACGGATTAACTTCAAACTTCACAACAAGGTTAATTACCATGAAACCTCGGACAAGTTCGATAACCGCCATTATCCGACCATAATTTGTGGAGTTATGCCCCTTTATGGACTTGCCGAAACAGTGTCCGCTCGATATCTCGAGTAATTATTAACGGATTAACTTCAAACTTCACAACAAGGTTAATTACCATGAAACCACGGACAAGTTCGATAACCGCCATTATCCGACCGTAATTACTGGAGTTATTACCCTTGGTTTCATTAATGCGATGCATGCGTTCCATGATGTTGTATTGCACTCATTGATCTACCAGTTATGTTGAATGATTTCTCTTTTAATATCAATTACTCACAAATACTTCATATATTTCAATCATACAAACAACTGCTCATTCAATGTGTGACGGGCGTATTATATACCGCTCGCGGTAACCTTGTTAGCATTAATATTAAATAATTTTTGTGAAATATATGCTATTCGAATGGCATAAAACAGTAGAGTTAGTGAACTTTGATAAATACTGTGTAAAATAAACTTCGTAAAAAGTTGAAAATTATAAATTTGGTTAAATACTGTATCTCATTTTTCGAAACTTTTTTTTCAGACGGATATTTTTCCATCCAGAAGGACAATGTATGTTCAGTGGGGGTCGTGACGTAATGAAGGTTTATGGCTGGGAACCTGCAAAGTGCTACGACTCTATTCCAATGAGTTGGGGTGAAGTTGCTGATATTGGCTTAGCTCAGAACCAGCTCGTAAGTGTAATAAGTAACTCAGAACCAGCTTGTAAGTGTAAAATGTAGCTCAGAAAGAGCTCATAAGTGTAAAATGTAGCTCAGAACCAGCTCATAAGTGTAAAATGTAGCTCAGAACCAGCTCGTAAGTGTAAAACATAGCTCAGAACCAGCTCGTAAGTGTAAAATGTAGCTCAGAACCAGCTTGTAAGTGTAAAATGTAGCTCAGAACCAGCTCGTAAGTGTAATATGTAGCTCAGAACCAGCTCGTAAGTGTAATATGTAGCTCGGAACCAGCTCGTAAGTGTAAAATGTAGCTCGGAACCAGCTCGTAAGTGTAAAATGTAGCTCAGAATGAGCTCATAAGTGTAATAATTAGCTCAGAACCAGCTCTGTTGGTATAATTTTTTAGCTAAATTTAGCTCATATTTAGCTCCAATCGAGCACAGTAGGTATAATATGTAGCCCAGAACCAGCTCTGTTGGTGTAATTTTTTGCTTGACACAAGCTTGTTATTGTATTCTTTAGCTCAAAACCAGTTCGTAAGTGCATTATTTAGTTCAGAACAAGCTTGTAAGTTTAATATGTAGCTCAGAACTAAACATAAGTTTATTATATAGCTCAGCACAAGCTTATTGGTGTAATAATTGGCTCAGAACAGGCTTATTGGTGTAATAATTAGCTCAGAACCAGCTTAGAAGTGTAATATGTATCTCAGAACCAGCTTTGAAGTGTAATATTTAGCCCCAAACCAGCTCGTTAAATATAATTTTCAGCTCAAATTGGCTCGTATTTAGCTCCAAACGAGCACAGTAGGTATAATATGTAGCCAAGAACCATCTGGAAGGTGTAATTTTTTTGCTTGACACAAGCTTGTTATTGTGTTCTTTAGCTCAGAACCAGTTCGTAAGTGCAGTATTAGCTCACCGGGTCCGAAGGACCAAGACGAGCTTATGCCATACCGTGCTGTACGTCAACAATTTCTTCAAACGACTTCTCCTTTTTAACCACTGATTGGAATTTAACTTAATTTGACTGGCAGCATCCCGAGGTGGTGGGGATTCAAAATTGTACAAATGGTGGGGCTGACCCCCCAGGAGATGAGGGGCGGGGCCAAAAGGGGGCAATTTGCCTATATTGCTATAAACAACTTCTTCGTTTGAACTATGCCATGGCTATCATCACATTTGGTCGGAAGCATTCATGGGAGGGGGGAATTCAAAATTGTACAAATGATGGGACTGACCCCCCGGGCTAAGGGGCTGGCCAAAAAAGTTTATTACTTGGAAATGGTTGAGATCCCCGCCGTATAACCATATATACAATTGCTGAGTATAAAGAGAAGAATGCACATTCGCTTCCAGGATGGCCCTAAGGTCTGGTCCCACCCTTGGAGACATAGTCCCTGGGTCATAACTTTGAAACGGTTGAGATTCCCAACCCAAAACTATATATATAATGCTGGGCATAGAGAGAGGAATGCAGTCATGATATTAGAATAGATCCTGGGGTCTGGCCACAACCCTAGGGACCTAGTTTTTGAGCCACAGCTTGGAACAGTGGAGATCCCCACCCCATAACCATACATAAAATTGTTATATGCTACAAGATATGCTACAAGGGTTGACCTTAGGGTCTGGCCTTTTCCCTTGGATCTCATTTGTAGAATATTTTGCCATGGTTGCTTAAATATCCAAGCTTATTGGTGTAATATTTAGCTCAGAACAAGCTTAATGGTGTAATATTTGGCCAGAACCAGCCAGTTAGTGTAAAATTTGATTGAAAACTTACATAACTGAATTCAAAATGACACAGAATTATGTGCCTTGATGCATTGTCTGTCCATTGTCTGGTGACAATATTAGAGATTTTCTTTGATAAATCTAATATCAAGTCATGATGTCAAGTCCATAGCTTGCTGAGATGAAGGGCTATTGAGTTTTTTCAATTGAATGACCTTGACCCACTGTTGCCATCTGGGCCGAAATGTGTTAAAAATTTTAAATGACATTTTCTTAAGAACCACAATGCCTTGAATAATGCTTAGCATCTAACTAGCTCTGGTGAAGGGCTGTCAATTTTGTTTAAACAAATTACATTGACTCAATTCAAGATCACAGGAAAACTGAAATCATACATGTGCCTGAAGCTTAAAGGGTTGTCTTGAGTGTCTAAATAAGAGATACAATTTGTTTTCACTGTACAGTCAGTTTGTCTTCAGGACAAAATAGAAAAATAGTGACTATTGCATTTCTGTTTCATTTCAGATTTGTGCTGCTTTCAGTAAGACAAACGTGTCAAGTTTTGTAGTAGACTTACAGGTATGTAAATCTTTAATGTCAATCATATGTTATGTTGAAAATACAGGTGTTTTACCTATATTGTAGCTTATTAAATTGTTCAAATGCTTTTAACAAAAATCATAAGTAAACTGTTAAGTGTGAAATTACATATTTGAATTGCTAGCGGTACACGGAAAAAATATTATAATAAGCAACTTATTCTTGTTACTAGATAATTGCCATCTATACATACATGTCAAAGTACTAACAGTGCTTCTTTAAAAAGAATATTGATCACAAGTATCAAAAAGTCATGTTCAATTTGAAATCTGATTTAACATATTTACATGCAGAGAGTGAAACCATGTGGCACTGTACCTCACTCGGATGGCCCGCCCAGTCCTTCTGTAGGTGTGGCACCTCACAATATGTCTAAGTAAGTATTTTATGACAAGATTCTTGAGTTTGAGGATAAAACTAATTTCTATGACTACAGGACTTGTTTCATATGTGGTGATTTGTTATACCTGAACTGACCAATCTGTCTTTCTGTATGTGTGTTAGCTCATAAAATATTCATGTAAGTGATGGATTTGTCTTGTGTGGTAGTTTCTTTTGCCTCACTCTCAAGATTTACGATTTTAAATAATTAACCTGTGGGTAAAATTAAGTAGAAAATAAACTTCGGTCACATCCCCTAATGATGGAGTGGTAAACTTTGGTCACATCCCCTAATGATGGAGTGGTAAACTTTGGTCACACCCCCTAATGATGGAGTGGTAAACTTTGGTCACTCCCCTATTGATGGAGTGGTAAACTTTGGTCACACCCCCTAATGATGGATTGGTAAACTTTGGTTACACCCCCTTATGATGGAGTGGTAAACTTTGGTCACACCCCCTAATGATGGATTGGTAAACTTTGGTTACACCCCCTTATGATGGAGTGGTAAACTTTGGTCACACCCCACTTTGGTCACACCCCCTAATGATGGATAGCCCCCTAATGATCGAGTGATTAACGTTGGTCTCCCCCTTATGATGATGTGGTAAACTTTGGTCACACCCCCTTATGATGGAGTGGTAAACTTTGGTCACACCCCCTAATGATGGATAGGTAAACTTTGTTAACACCACCTTATGATGGATTGGTAAACTTTGGTTACACCCCCTTATGATGGAGTGGTAAACTTTTGTCACACCCCCTAATGATGGAGTGGTAAACTTTGGTGACACCCCTTAACGATGGAGTGGTAAATTTTAGTCACTCCCCCTAATGATCGAGTGATAAACGTTGGTCTCCCCCTTATGATGGAGTGGTAAACTTTGGTCACAACCCCTTATGATGGAGTGGTAAACTTTGGTCACACCCCCTAATGATTGAGTGGTAAACTTTGGTCAACCCCCTACTGATCGAGTGGTAAAAATTGGTCACACCCCCTAATGATGGAGTGGTAAACTTTGGTCAACCCCCTTCTGATCGAGTGGTAAAAATTGGTCACACCCCCTAATGATGGATTGGTAAACTTTGGTTATACCCCCTTATGATGGAGTGGTAAACTTTGGTCACACCCCCTTATGATGGAGTGGTAAACTTTGGTCACACCCCTTAATGATGGAGTGGTAAATTTTAGTCACTCCCCCTAATGATCGAGTGATAAACGTTGGTCTCTCCCTTATGATGGAGTGGTAAACTTTGGTCACACCCCCTAAAGATGGAGTGGTAAACTTTTTTTACACCCCCTAATGATGGATAGGTAAACTTTGTTAACACCACCTTATGATGGAGTGGTAAACTTTGGTCACACCCCCTAATGATGGAATGGTAAACTTTGTTTACACTCCCTTATGATGGAGAGGTAAACTTTGGTCACACCCCTAATGATGGAGCGGTAAACTTTGGTTACACCCCCTTATAATGGAGTGGTAAACTTTGGTCACACCCCCTTATCATGGAGTGGTAAACTTTGGGCAACCCCCTTTATGATGGAGTGGTGAAAATTGGTCACGGCCCCTCATGATGGAGTGATAAACTTTGGTCACACCCCCTAATGATGTAGTGGTAAACTTCGGTCACACCCATTAATGATGGAGTGGTAAAATTTGGTCACACCCCCTAATGGTGGAGTGGTAAACTGGTCACACTCCCTTATAATGATGTGGTAAACTTTGGTCACACCCCCTTATTAGGGAGTGGTAAACTTTGGGCCCCCCCCCCCCCCCTAATGATGGAGTGGTAAACTTTGATTACACCCTCTTATGATGGAGTGGTAAACTTTGGTCAACCCCCTTATGATGGAGTGGTAAAAATTGGTCACCCCTCATGATGGAGTGGTAAACTTTGGTCACAGCCCCTTATGATGGAGTGGTAAACTTTGGGCAACCCCCTTTATGGTGGAGTGGTGAAAATTGGTCACGGCCCCTCATGATGGAGTGATAAACTTTGGTCACCCCCCCCCCCTAATGATATAGTGGTAAACTTTGGTCACACCCCCAAATGATGGAGTGGTAAACTGTGGTCACACCCCCTTATCATGATGTGGTAAACTTTGGTCACACCCCCTAATGATGCACCCCCTAATGATGGAGTGGTAAACTTTGGTTACACCCTCTTATCATGGAGTGGTAAACTTTGGGGAACCCCCTTTATGATGGAGTGGTGAAATTGCTCACACCCTTATGATGGAGTGGTAAAAATTGGTCACACACCCTAATGATGGATTGGCAAACTGTGGTCAACCCCCCTTATGATGAAGTGGTAAAAATTGGTCACACCCCCTCATGATGGAGTGGTAAACTTTGGTCACAGCCCCTTATGATGGAGTGGTAAACTTTGGTCAACCCCCCCTTATGATGGAGTGGTAAAAAATGGTCCCTTCCCCTCATGATGGGGTGATAAACTTTGGTCACCCCCCCCCCCTAATGATGGAGTGGTAAACTTTGGTTACACACTCTTATCATGGAGTGGTAAACTTTGGGCAACCCCCTTTATGATTGATTGGTGAAAATTGGTCACGGCCCCTCATGATGGAGTGATAAACTTTGGTCCCCCCCCCCCCTAATGATGGAGTGGTAAACTTTGATTACACCCCCTTATGATGGAGTGGTGAACTTTGGTCAACCCCCCCTTATGATGGAGTGGTAAAAAATGGTCCCTTCCCCTCATGATGGGGTGATAAACTTTGGTCACCCCCCCCCCCTAATGATATAGTGGTAAACTTTGGTCACACCCCCAAATGATGGAGTGGTAAACTGTGGTCACACCCCCTTATCATGATGTGGTAAACTTTGGTCACACCCCCTTATGATGGAGTGGTAAACTTTGGTTACACCCTCTTATCATGGAGTGGTAAACTTTGGGGAACCCCCTTTATGATGGAGTGGTGAAATTGCTCACATAAACTTTGGTCACACCCCCTAATGATGCACCCCCTAATGATGGAGTGGTAAACTTTGATTACACCCTCTTATGATGGAGTGGTAAACTTTGGTCAACCCCCTTATGATGGAGTGGTAAAAATTGGTCACCCCTCATGATGGAGTGGTAAACTTTGGTCACATCCCCTTATTATGGAGTGGTAAACTTCGGTCACACTCCTTAATGATGGAGTGGTAATTTTTTTTACACTACCTTATGATGGAGTGGTAAACTTTGGTTACACACTCTTATCATGGAGTGGTAAACTTTGGGGAACCCCCTTTATGATGGAGTGGTGAAATTGCTCACACCCCCTAATGATGTAGCGGTAAACTTCGGTCACACCCCTTAATGATGGAGTGGTAATTTTTTTTACACCCCCTTATGATGGAGTGGTAAACTTACGTGACTTGCCCTTATGATGGAGTGGTAAACTTTGGTTACACACTCTTATCATGGAGTGGTAAACTTTGGGGAACCCCCTTTATGATGGAGTGGTGAAATTGCTCACACCCCCTAATGATGAAGTGGTAAACTTCGTTCACGCCCCTTAATGATGGAGTGGTAAAATTTGGACACACCCCCTAATGGTGGAGTGGTAAACTGGTCACACCCCCTTATAATGATGTGGTAAACTTTGGTCCCCCCCCCTTTTTAGGGGGGGGTAAACTTTGGTCCCCCCCCCCCCCCCTAATGATGGAGTGGTAAACTTTGATTACACCCCCTTATGATGGAGTGGTGAACTTTGGTCAACCCCCCCTTATGATGGAGTGGTAAAAAATGGTCCCTTCCCCTCATGATGGAGTGATAAACTTTGGTCAATGATGTAGTGGTAAACTTCGGTAACACCCATTAATGATGGAGTGGTAAAATTTGGTCACCCCCCCTAATGGTGGAGTGGTAAACTGGTCACCCCCCCTTATAATGATGTGGTAAACTTTGGTCCCACCCCCTTATTAGGGAGTGGTAAACTTTGGGCCCCCCCCCCCCCCCTAATGATGGAGTGGTAAACTTTGGTCACACCCCTTAATGATGGAGTGGTAAATTTTAGTCACTCCCCCTAATGATCGAGTGATAAACGTTGGTCTCCCCCTTATGATGGAGTGGTAAACTTTGGGCAACCCCCTTTATGATGGAGTGGTGAAATTGCTCACACCCCCTAATGATGAAGTGGTAAACTTCGGTCACACCCCTTAATGATGGAGTGGTAAAATTTGGTCACACCCCCTAATGGTGGAGTGGTAAACTGGTCACACCCCCTTATAATGATGTGGTAAACTTTGGTCACACCCCCTTATTAGGGAGTGGTAAACTTTGGTCACCCCCCCCCCTAATGATGGAGTGGTAAACTTTGATTACACCCTCTTATGATGGAGTGGTAAACTTTGGTCAACCCCCCCTTATGATGGAGTGGTAAAAAATGGTCACTTCCCCTCATGATGGAGTGATAAACTTTGGTCACCCCCCCCCCCTAATGATATAGTGGTAAACTTCGGTCACACCCCTAAATGATGGAGTGGTAAACTTTGGTCACACCCCCAAATGATGGAGTGGTAAACTGTGGTCACACCCCCTTATAATGATGTGGTAAACTTTGGTCACACCCCCTAATGATGGAGTGATAAACTTTGGTCATCCCCCCTTATGATGGAGTGATAAATTTTGGTCACACCCCCTAATGATGGAGTGGAAAAATTTGTTTACACCCCCTAATGATGGAGTGGTAAACTTTGGTCACACCCCCTAATGATGGAGTGGTAAACTTTGGTCACACCCCCTAATGATGGAGTGGTAAACTTTGGTCACACCCCCTAATGATGGAGTGGTAAACTTTGGTCACACCCCCTAATGATGGAGTGGTAAACTTTGGTCACACCCCCTAATGATGGAGTGGTAAACTTTGGTCACACCCCCTAATGATGGAGTGGTAAACTTTGGTCACACCCCCTAATGATGGAGTGGTAAACTTTGGTCACACCCCCTAATGATGGAGTGGAAAAATTTGTTTACACCCCCTAATGATGGAGTGGTAAACTTTGGTCTCACACCTTGATGATGGAGTGGTAAACTTTGGTGTTAATGATGATGTGTCTTTCCACAGCAGCAGTAGTGGAAGGAGGAGTTTTATCACAGAGAGACCTCCCACTACATCAACTAGACAGGCAAGGTATGGATTTTTTTAACTCCATTCTCCGTTTCTTCATATACATCTTCACCTGTGATATCGTTGCTGTTGTTATTTGTAGCAAAAGAAAATGTCAATATTTAGGGGTCAAGCTTTTTTGAAATGTAAATTTGTGTTGGTCAATGAAAATTTGACCAGCCGAGTCAGATTTCGATTTTATAAATAAGTCATTTTGTACTCTTGAAATATCAATCTACAAATAGGTTTCTTATTGCAAAACATGACATGGGTCTGTAAAAGAGCAAATGTTTTAAGTTGTTTCAGATGTTGTTAGCTTTCTCATATATGCAAATTTCATGTGTTAATCTTTCAGAATGAAAGTTAAGCTACACTGGGAGAAAAGGGAGATTTGTTGGTTTAAATCTCTGTTATTTACAGAAATATGATTGATAGATTCTTTGCCTTGTAGTGTACCTAAGGAAGAGGCTGAGGAGCCAACACATGACAAGGATGACATGTCAGATGAATCTGCAGCAGACATACAGAGCCCCGCAGTCTACAATAACATATTCCGACCAAAATCAAAGCTCTCGCGCTCTCCAACTAGACAGTCACCATTTATGCCACCTCCTGAGGATGGTATGTCTATCAGGGTATTGGCCAGGATTTTTGAATGATTGCGGGGTGGGGGGATGTGACCAAAGTTTACCACTCCATCAAAAAACTTGTTGTGTACAGGTATCACACTAAGAATGTTTTCATTTAGCTTGTTCTCAACAATTGTCCATATAGGCAAGAGGTGTTTGTTTATATTATAGGGCCAAACTTTGTCATCTGATGTTGTATTCTAGTGATCCTTAGCATAGACATTCAGTGATTGTGCAGGTCCACTAGTGGTCTGATGTTGTATTCTAGTGATCCTTAGTATAGACATTCAGTGATTGTGCAGGTCCACTAGTGGTCTGATGGTGTATTCTAGTGATCCTTAGCATAGACATTCAGTGATTGTGCAGGTCCACTAGTGGTCTGATGTTGTATTCTAGTGATCCTTAGCATAGACATTTAGTGATTGTACAGGTCCACTAGTTTCATGGTTATTAGATTATATATATCTAGTTCCAGGGATGAAGCTAACACTGTTTCTCTTACTTTGGTTCAGTCAGTTTATCCCTTGCTTTGATACCACCTGGTATGCAGGGTGATTGAAGAATAGGGGGGAAACTAAGTATTGAAGTCAATCGCAGCAAGCTCAGGAGTTGACTTCTATACTTTGTATTTATGTTATGTCATAGTTTTGTCAAAGTAAACGTAAACTCTTATGAGACCCCACAATTCTGAAGAATTCTTGTGTTGCGTACAGGCCAGTCCGAGATATTCCCTGTACATCAGCCAGCCTCGACACCAGCCCCTGTCACACAGCGAACAAAGTCAGTCACCAAGACAGCCAGCAAACCCAGTGTACCCCCAGTCTCCAAAACACCTAGTGCAACTCCAGTTGTAAAAGCAGTCTCAAACCCTACCCCGAAACCTAACTCGACACCAGCTCCGCCACCTAAAGAACCAGATCCTATAGCTGGAATCGCTGCAGAGGACTTTTTACCTGTAAGATAATCACTCAAGCAAATATCATTAGTGCACACAATTAATGTATCACCCACTATGGTGTCACAAGGAATAATCAAAACATGACTTCATGAATAAATGAGAGAGACAGTAATATTCTTTGCATTTCAGGCCCTTGTCAAGAAATGGGGGAAGTGTTGCCCATGTCTTTTCTCATGTTCAGCTGTCATTCAACTATCTTGATTTAACTCATTGACCCCTTTAGACACAGTTGAACCCTTCCAATTCAAAGCTTGGAAAAAATCATTATGGAATTTCAGGGGTGAATGAGTTAATTCGGATAAGACTTCATAACAGGTGCTTTAGGATCCCGTGAAAGATCAAGGTCACCATTTGTCAGAGCTTTTCTGTTCACATTTTTGAAGAGATTTGAATGAAAACTTAAAAAATGTGTACAGTGCTGAAATACATTGAATGAGGTTACGTTCAGGGTCCTTAGGTTAAGGTCAAAGACATTATAACTGTTAATAGAATATGTTATTAGCATTTGTGGTATACTCTATGTATTACACATTCTAGAGTTTGAATATTAAATGTATGGCTATAAAATACTGTTCTGATGTACATCAATTATAAACATTGAGATAAAATTTGTACTCAAGTTAGAGAATTAAGCAGTTAGTTGTTGCTAATTCAATAATACATGATGTAAAAAAATGAAAAAATTAAACTCATAAATTTCAGAAAAGTGCTTATGGGGGCTCAACGCCAAGTGGAGAACCAAATGAGGAGGAGGTTCTCAGTGCTGTCCTCAAAGGACATGGTGCAATGGCTCAAGTAATGTCTGGTCGCAGTAAAAACATACAGATTGTCCGAGCTATGTGGACCAGTGGAAATACCAAGGTCAGTGTGATAGGTTGTTCCCAGTTATCACCAGTCGGTGGGACAGGCTCCTAGGTCTTGTACAATGATCTTGTCCGAAGTTGCTGTCATGATGTGTTTTGTTTTTTGTTTTAAATATGTTTGAGATGAATGTAGAATGCATGACACTTGCTTGTGATGTGTTAAGTATAAGAATTACGAGTAACAATTAATTTTATTTTCTTGAACGCTGATATTTATGTTCTTTTTATTATACAACTCATAAACAGATTAAGGATCCATGTCCCATTGCACTGTGGTGTTTGCTATATACAGTAACCTCCCCTGAACTTGCGTACGGATGTAATAGTAACACAGTTTAGTCAGGATACTTCCGTACACCAAGTAGCTCAATCAGTTAGAGAGACAGTATAACAATATGAAGTGCAGAGTTCCAATCCCAGTCTAGCCCTGCTGAAATGTTACTCTCAGAACACGGCTGTTAATGACATTTTTGTTCTCCTGAAAGTCCCCCAAGGTACGGTTTGTTTTCAGAAATAATTTATTAAAGCTATTGTCATGTCAAAAAAGACTGTTTCCAGAACTAAGTTACAGTTTTTGGTAGGGTACTTGGATCCTTAAGGAGGGGCCTGTCTTTCGTCCTGTCCTTCAATCAATTCATACTTGCCTTATGAAAATTCCATGAAGGAGATTCTATATATGCGTAAAATTAAAAACATAAATAAAATCTGTGTATAGGCGTCTGACTTCCTACCAGTAGCCCTCCACCACTGGGTCACCAGTTTCAAGGTACTGGCCGTAGGTGCTGGTACATTGGCTTTCCTTGACCACCAAAACCTGGCACAACCTCAAATATCCATAGCTGTTAATAGGTCGTAAAACACAAACAAACCAGACTTATGACCGAGGGCAAGATTCTCATTTCTGTTCCTATTTTTCAGACTGCTGTAGACTCGGCCATTAGTATGAATGACCAAGCTGTATTAGTAGATTTACTTAATGTTCTTAACCTCAAATCGTAAGTATCCTTTTTTGTGTTCAAAGTTATAATTAGTCGACTAATATTGGTTATTGCTGTAAGTGTTGATTATAATAGAAAAGTATGTAGGATAATTCTATTCATCATTAAATAATGAAGAGAAGAATTGGTATTTCATGTCAGCAAATATGGTTGTGAAAAAAATATCAGGCAGCAGGCACAATGTCTCCCCATGACTACAATGTGATGTTGTAAACACACCCATAAATATTACTGTGTGTAATTAATGACACCCATTGGGACATCAGAATCATGAATGAAGATATCAACGTAAATACCTGGATTACTAAAAGAGACGACATAGTTTATTTTGTTTAGAGATTTTTGTTTCAAACCTGACAATATTGTGTATTATTTGACTTCTTTACTCCCCAGTAATTTCCTGTTTGGTTTGTTGTAGGGGACTGTGGAGTTTAGAACTATGTGCTACGTTATTGCCTCTTGTCAAAGATCTGCTGCAGAGTAAATATGACAGGTAGGTATTGATATTTAACCTCATCAGAACATCAAGAAAAAAATAGACCATCAGGATTATTACCATTGAAAGATAGGTTTTATGATAAAACCACCATTTTGATTCTAAGTATGATGTGGTTCATAGTCTTAATGACTTGTCGATACATAATTCCAAAACGGGTGAAATGGATAATTGATGATCCAAACAATGTCCCATAAGTAGATGACACAGTACAAAATCCCAATTTTACAGGAGGCCCAGCATTGGTTATCTCATAACGTTGCATCATGATATATTATGTCTTGTTCTGTCCCTGAACCTGCACAGATGATTTTCACATTAAACTGACCAATCGGAGAGTAGCGCTTGATCTGTGAAGTATTAACAAGAATGAATTTTCCTGATATGGTCGTAATAATCATTGTCATAATCAAATGGCCCAAAAGCCATGAGAATAGATTATACAATAGACTGACTTATTGAATCAGCAACTGTATTGCTCATACCATTTTCAAAGGAAATTGGGATGTTTCATGAGTTCTGAATTGCTAGACAATATGTTTATATTTTGTGTAGGAATTATATATCACGACAGATATTAATCACAAAGTTATTTTATTAAAGTTATTTATACATTCTTCACAAGTCACATGTTTAGGTGATGTACCAATATGTATCTGTTTTTCTCTACAGTTATGTTATGACAGCCTGTAATGCCTTGAAAATTATCCTAAGAAACTTTGGGCCTGTGATAAAATCGAATCTGACCGCTCCCCCATCTGTGGGCGTGGATATCTCGCGGGAAGAGAGGTAAGTCATCTTTACTGTTTACTGTACACCACAATGGAGTCGGGGAAAGAATATTTACGAATCAGATAAAAGAAAAGTTAATAGTCCAATTTTTGGATATTAGAAAAATTGTATAAAGGTGATTGTGTGTTCTTATTAGGTAGAATATGTATTTTATGTGGAAAATTTTAATTTGTGAATTGAAAATTATGGAAAGGAGTTTTTTAGTGTTTTGGAGTGGTAGTTAAAGCTATTGTGGGTATAATAGACTATTTCTGTGTTACTATTAATCCTGTTGACATTGTTCAAATATCCATTTTCACTGTGATCCTTTTGTACCAGGCCGTATCGGGTAAATACTGCTGTAACAGATTGACTTTCTCACAATACAAATCATATCTGGACATCGGAGCCAAAGTAATTAAATGCACCGCCATATATGAAACTAAATAATGAAATATAAAAAAACATAATATCTTCTCATCCAGGTTCAGAATTTTATAGTTTAAAACCTACAACTCCTTTAAACTGGCATATTCCAAAGGTTAACATTGATTTGAATTAAATAATTTATTTTTCAATTGAATATGGTCTCAAGTCCATGACAATACATTTCCAAATGGGCCTCTTCGTTATTGCCGTTAGTCTGACACTTTTGCTTCAAAACCATTTTCTTAGTTTTACTTGTTTGGTTTTGTGTGTTGAGGGGGAAGTGTCTACATTGTTAGATCTTTCACTAGCTGCAGAGTGAGTTAACTCACTGTTGGCCTGTTGATGTGAGACTAATAGAATCTTTCACCCCCTTGGGGGTGAGACAGGGTAATCTCAACCCGAGGGGTAAGATTCTTAAGTTGTCAAACATGAGGCTTGCCGAGTGTTTGACAGCTTAAGAATCTTACCCCGAGGGTTGAGATCACCCTGTCTCACTTCCAAGGGGGTGAATGATTATTTTTCTCTTACCCTGTTTACACTCTTGTGTATTTTATATAGACGTTACATCAATGCAAGACAATATTAATGTGATGCGGCTGAATTGTCGACATGACGTCATTGTATTGTTGCCGTGACGTCATGTTATTGTTGCTATGACGTCATGGTATTGTTGCTATGACGTCTTACAATTGTTGAGAACGTGCAAAGAACACGTGTAGCTTGTCTCAACCCTAGGGTGAGATAAGAAAATCTCACCCCGGTAAAATGGTTGCTATCCCTGTCCAGGGTAAGAGAAAAATGTCACTTAGATGAGTTGACAAGTTAGATGTAGGTTTGGCATTGGTACAGAAACCCTTAAGTACAGTACCATTCAAAAATTGGTAGAACATTAGTGTTCGGAGTGACTATCATTGCTCTACTCCTTGTTTCTTATTTTGCACCCGTAATGGGTCTCCCTTCCCTCCCATTAAAATTACATTTGAAATAGCACTTAAAATTGTAACCTTTGAAAATGGATTAATCTTTTTTAATTGCTGTAGAAGTGGAAATTTTCGCAGCATGGAAATATCAATGTTCACATTTTTTCTCGTGTTAATTAGATAGGCACAAAAATATCTTCACAGGAATGTTTATTTGTGTGTTACATAGATTATAGATAGATAGAATATATAGATATCAGATATAGATTATAGATAGATATCAGATATAGATATAGATTATAGATAGATAGAATATATAGATATCAGATATAGATTATAGATCGATAGAATATGTAGATATCAGATATAGATTATAGATAGATATAATATATAGATATCAGATATAGATTATAGATAGATAGAATATATAGATATCAGATACAGATTATAGATAGATAGAATATATAGATATCAGACCTATTGCTGAAGCAAACATTTCCACACCACGATCAGTTTAAAGGGTCTAAATGCGAACTTTTCCACATTTGAAAATTTCCACTTGTACAGTATTTTTGTTCACAGTTCAGTTATTCCTATCGCACATGTTTGACACATGTTTCTGGTTTATTGTAGGTATCGGAAGTGTAACAAAGCTTATAGTGTTATTTTACAAATAAGAAGTGACATGGACAAAAGACAAAACCTTCAGGGAAACGTCGGTACCATATTCCGTGAACTACAAATTCTCATGAACAACTTGGAATAGACCTCTGGCAAAGCATTCTTGAGCTGTGAAATTTACAAACTCTGTCTCAGCACAAACATGTCAATTAATGTAATGCAAAATTTGTGAGACCTCCAGGAGTAGTGCTAAATTCCAAGATTGTGCTACGGTGAACAATTAAATACATATACCATACCGTTATAGTGCTAGGATATTTATGTTGTGGTACATTAAAAGAAGGGGAGACAATTCTTCAGAAATGAATTCCATACAGGAGGCATAAGATGCATTTTACAAATTACAAGCTATGTGGACAAATGACAAAACATTGATGGAAAAGTCAGCATCAAATTCCATAAACTTCAAATTCTCATGAGCAATTTTTATTACACCTCCAGCAAATTATACTAATTTAAATTCACAAACACTGTCTCGGTGCAGATATGTCAATTAATGCAAAATTTGTGAGACCTCCTGGAGCAGTGCTAAATTCCAAAATTGTGCTACTGTGGACTATTTACTGCCATATTCAATACCTTATAGTGCTAAGATGTATGTTGTGGAATATTGACAGGAAGGAGACCGATCTCTGTATATAAATTCCACACCAGAGGTGTAAGGGGAAAGAAAGCATCAGAGACTGTCCAACCAGCCTGGTGTTGTACCCCCTATTTGTGATATGTACAGTATTCATTGTCCAGCATTGAGGAGGACTACATGATTGAAACAGTCTTTGAGACATGCATTGTGATTGGCTGTACTACGTGTATTCAGACAGTCAAGAGATGCATTGTGATTGGTCAGTACTACGTGTATTGAGACGGTCTTTAAAAGATGCATTGTGATTGGTCAGTACTATGTGTACTGAGATGGTCTTTAAAGTTTAGAAGATGCATTGTGATTGGTCAGTACTGTGTTTTACTTGTGATAAGCCCAGGTGACCTAGTTTTTATATAACAGATTAATACTAGTGCTGGGCCAATTCCTACTTATGACCCGATATGCTGGAAAAGCTTTTTCTCAGATGTGATCTTAATCATAAATCTGTTTCATGATTGGGTTGGGCTTATCATGGGTGAGACACAGTAGCTTATCAAGCTGTACATGTAAGAGTACATGTCAAGATTTATAGAATGATTGGAAATTCTAGTATACAGGACTACCTAGAGTGACCAGCCTTAACTAACTTTGCCCTTATAGCAATAAATGTTGGAGATGGCCTAGTAACGGTTGTGTGTTAAGTGTGTCTGTTTGTGGTACGGTGCTTATCTACGTGTGCAAGCATGCTCAGGATGTCTTAGCTGGAAATTTCAAACCTTGTTTTCTGCCTGGGATCATTGGTTCAACTTTTACACAACCAACTGACTGTTAAGAGACTATTGGGGTAGGACAGCCCCAGAGACTACTGGGGTAGGAGAGCCCTGTAGTGATTCTCTCTAAAACAAAAATTATCATATCTTCTGTGTCTCTATTTAAATGAAAGTGAGAGATATTGTATCCCTACAGGTACCAGTTCTTCTGTTTCTTCTGGTTCAGATAATTTCCTCTAGTTATCATAACTTCTTTTCTTGACCTCAACTTTTATGCCAATAAATTACATGCACCCAGCTGCAGGAGTATATATAATGCAGATGCCGTAAAGTTTATTGAATCGTTAGATCAGTATATTATGGAGGTATCTTGATAAACACTTGTATACCTGCCTCACCTACAGTAGGTGTGCAGTGCACTGTATTAAGGTCATGGTGACCTTTGCCTTTAGGTTAGAGGTCAAATAAGTGCAAACTTTTGTGAATTTTGACGTGTCTGTTTGAAGATACCTTGATGGTGAGCAGTGCACTTTATTTAGGTCTACTTATGGTATTGATCATAAATTGTTCTTGTCAGAATTTAGGTGTGATTTGCTATCACATGTACATAGGTATACTCCAGACAGATTCAGGGTATTAGAATTTAGGTGTGATTTGCCATCACATGTACATAGGTAACTCCAGACAGATTCAGGTCAACATGTTATTATTTCCTTACAAACACATCTAAATTATCACTATTTTAGCTTTTCTAGCAATAAATGAATACTTCCATGGATATTTTCCTGATGTTACTATTGTCCATGCATTAGCAATATATCAGAAGTTTCACAAAGCTATATTGTTGAGTGGGATTTTTTTTATGCTCAGTTGCTTTGTTTTTTCAGAATACTTTTGCATTTGCAAATACTGCCGGAAACTTCATTGTTGATTTTTTTTTATAAAAATACATTTGTATAAAACCAAACTTCATAGGCGGGCGGTTGATTGCAGAGTGTGCCTTTTACTTCTATAGAATCAATTATTTATACTGGTATGCTGCATTGTGACCAAGGTTAAGGGTCAATATTTATAATAAGTGAAGTTTTAAGTTAAGTATTTTACAAGTTATCAAGTATTATTATTAAATACAAATATATTAGTAAAAACTACATGAATTAGGTGACATGACGACACAAATTGAATGCCTTCTCCCTATCCTGTTCTTCCTTAATAACGAGGTTGTTGTTTGCATTGGGCTTCGAACAATGATTCAGTTAATTATTAATTATAAATTAGTATGTTAATGTGTTATATAACTGGTTGTGAAATGTAACAGTTAGGTAACATGTCAGGAAATGAAATAATTTTTAAGAACGTACAATTGATACATTTGCTTAAAGGATTGTTCATTGTAGTATACATTACTTATGTAATCTATATAAGCATTATACAGGTGGTTGGAAAAAAAGCAATCTCTTATTTTATTCAAAATTTAAATTGGTTTTATTTCATAATATTTCCAAGAAGTAATGCTAAAGAAATGTTTGAATCAAAGAATGAGAGATTGTATTTATACTATAAGGGTTTAACAGTGCTTGGAAGACAAACCTGTAATGGTCCTTTATACAGTGTACTGAATTTAACAGTGCTAGGATCTTTACTTTAGTAACTGTTATTTAAAAAAATTGTTTACAATATATATAATATGTATTAGGTCAAATTAAAAAAAACGTATTTATAATATATAATGTGTATTAGGTCATTAGGTCAAATTAAAAATGTAATGTACTATGATTGTATACAGATGGGATCATTTTAAAGTTATAGAGTGTATGTATTATAATATGACTGAGTGAGGATCTATTTATAAATGTAAATGAAGTACAATAATGTACAATAAAATAACTCAACCTAGGTATTTGAAGTCATCTGCTCATTTCTACATTTTTCTGAAATTGACACTATTGATGTTCATGCCAAATCCTGATTTGTTTATAAACTGTTATATGCTTAAAGTAAGATTGTGTAATTCTAAGTTTTCCCAAATTCTGTTGCCAATCTATTTATTCTAAACTGATGCTTATCTCTCAAATTTGTTTTGTTTTTTCTTTGTTATAGTTTTCCCTTTTTGAGTGATTTGTACAGGAAAACATTTGTTGCGCTTCATGTCCTCTCCATATTTCCATTTTAAACTTGTAAAAAAATAAACAGCCGTACAAATTCTAATTTGAATTTTACAGAGTTACCTCCCTTCAATATCGTGTTGATTGTCAACAATGGGTTTGAGTTCATCATTGTCAGGAATGGAAGTTTTCATTTGTCAACAAAGCGGTTAGGCTGTTGACTGTCACGGAGAAGAGTTGGATTGAGTTCATTCCCTTGTTCTTAATTGTCAACAATGGAGTTGAGTTACATCCTTCAATATTTTGTCAACTATTAACAGTGGGATTTCCTTTCTTTAGTAAAGTTGTCGATTGTTAATAATGGGAATGACTAACCTGCATTCAATATGTTGTTTATAATGGACCTTGAGGTTGTGTTACCTCCCTTTCGTATGTTTTTGATTGAATTGCAAAATACTGAAGAAACAAACGGCAAATTCACAAGGATTTTTTCTTATGCAATGGGTGTGGTATACAAGGTATGGCAGGTTGGGAATACTGCATCAAATGGGGTGTGTAAGTATATTTGTGAAGGCGGGTCATTCTGTATCCTCCATAGAAATGGCAGCATTATGTCGATAACCGTGGTAAGCTACTGTGTTTTTTTTGCAGCACAGCATACATCATACCTCACAGTTTTAAATTCAGTTATTTGCTGTAAACCCTTCACCTCACTGCTTTCCTATAGATGTATTGACTGGGGCTTTAAGCCTATATAGTGTATCCAGACATCACATTATAGTACATCACTGTGTGGTCACCTTCTCTGTCTAACTTGGCTTTGTAAATATTATGATTAAAATCATTATATTATATTTTAAAATGAATTGTGTGGGAGAGAATATGTTCTATCTACGAAAATAAAAGTGAGTTTCGGCAAACCCCAGAAAACTCATTACATATACTTTGACACTTCATCTCCTAGTTAGAGCTTTGTCCTTGGGCCTTGCAAGTAAAAACATTGTGTGTAAGGTTGGGGAGATTATCACAGTACACCTAAAAACATACTGGTTGTGAACTTTTACTTACATACTCATTACTACAGAATTTATATGGAGTACAAAGGAGAAGAATATTATTGCACTGAACCCCACTCTATTACTGAGATATTCCTGTATATCAGATTCTGGTCCACATGTCAAAGATCATGGATACAGACTTGGTTATCAACAGCTTTACATTTTGTCTCAAAAGTGAAGATGTTTCAACAATAATACTTTACATTAATTCATAACACAGCCCGGTGATCAAACTACACAAAATTTACTGCCATTTTAGACTTTCTTATAAAATCTCTGTAATTATGTATTTAAAATGTTAGAAAAAAAGGTAATGTTAGGAAAATTTGTGTTTCTCCGTGAAGTCCATGTTTTTCCAAGTAGTCAAATTATTGTTAGTACCGAGTAATATGATCAGATTTTTGCTTATGTCTGTGTGAATTTGATCTAGTATGACTAGACAGAAATCTGCTGATCGACACTTGTAACCACAGTATCATCTTGTCCTAGCTATAGACACGAACCACTGTCCTAGACACTGGGACCACTGTGTTAGGCGCCTCTGGTACTTAAATATTGAGGGACACTTTGTAGAGGCCTTCTCAAATATTTGATATAAATGTCTATTTGTCTACTCCAATCTATAAAAAATTACATTCCTTCCAGCATCAAAAAAATGCTTTCTATTTTAATATACAGGATGTTATTAAAGTACTACAAGGAAACATTCCTGTAAACTTTACATTTAGCAAAGAGTTGAAAAGGTTAATAAAGTTTGTTTTATCATATATAAAAATAAGGGGGGAGGGGGGGGGGGGGGGGGGGGGGGCTAATGAAATAGGTGTTTTTTTTGTGTGTTGAATATGGTACAACACACTGAGGCCATGACTATAAAGGTGAAAGTAGCCCATGATCTGACAGACTAGGGTTTGAACATTTCAGTCTCCGGTCATGCCACCAGAATCAATCTTGAATTTGACAAGTTCAACAACCATCTTTCAGAAATTCCTTGAATGTGTCAGGGATCCATCTTCCCATGACAACAGTTATCTGCGGGCTAGATAGTTACCTGGCAGACTTCCTTCTCTAGTCCTAGGTATTTCTGGATACCCGAGCTAGAAACCCAGGTAGTGACACTATGGAAAGCTAAAACTTTCCAATCTACCATAATGTTAATGCTATCTAGCTTTATTTGTGAGGGAGAAATGATCACCAGCTTTGTTTTTTTTTAGACAATTTGTAAATACCGGTAACAGTAATATCTGGCTTTTCAACCAATTCTTCAGTGTCACAGAAATGAGTAATTCATTATAGCTTTCGCTGCTTTCTGAAGATTTGATTTGTCTTTTCTAGATCCAGCACATTAAAACATGATTGATCATGTTACTGATAGGTATGTACAGGATCATTGGTCAGAAGACAGAAAACATAAGTTACAGACAAGTAATTATTAGATACCCAGAATTATACTAACCACGGTAACTAGTGACTGTTTTGATGATATGTGATAGTGATGTTTTCTTCTATATATCAATCATTCCTCAGGGTCCGCTGGTGTTCTTTGTCTGTATGCAATATACCATCAGCAATAACGACACTTCATCAGCTTACTCATTGGCTCGGTTTAGACAGGTTTCCCTGTGGTTTCTTGTTTAGACAGGTCTCCCTGTGGTTTCCGGTTTAGACAGGATTCCCTGTGTTTTCCTTTTTAGACGGATCTCCCGTGTTTAGACAGGTCTCCCTGTGATGTCTTTTTTAGACAGGTTTCACTGGATTCTTGTTTAGACAGGTCTCCCTGTGGTTTCTTGTTTAGACAGGTCTCCCTGTGGTTACCAGTTTAGACAGGTTTCAATGTGGTTTCCGGATTAGACAGGTCTCCCTGTGGTTTCTTGTTTTTACAGGTTTCAATGTGGTTTCTTGTTTAGACAGGTCTCCCTGTGGTTTCTTGTTTAGACAGGTTTCCCTGTGGTTTCTTGTTTAGACAGGTCACCCTTTTTTTAGACAGGTCTCCCTGTGGTTACCAGTTTAGACAGGTTTCAATGTGGTTTCCGGATTAGACAGGTCTCCCTGTGGTTTCTTGTTTTTACAGGTTTCAATGTGGTTTCTTGTTTAGACAGGTCTCCCTGTGGTTTCTTCTTTAGACAGGTCTCCCTGTGGTTTCTTGTTTAGACAGGTTTCCCTGTGGTTTCTTTTTAAGACAGGTTTCCCTGTGGTTTCTTGTTTAGACAGGTCTCCCTGTGGTTCCTTGTTTATACAGCTTTCCCTGTGGTTTCTTGTTTAGACAGGTTTTTCTGTGGTGTCTCATTTAGACAGGTTTCCCTGCAGTTTTCAGTTAAAAGATAAGTTTCATTTATATCTACAAACTGTCTGACGATCTTGTTCAGTTACATATGATGATAACCACAAGTTTACAGTCTTTGGATTTTTTAAAACATTGGAAGTTAAATCTTATGAAGGTGTAAGAATAGAAGCAAGTTGTACATTACCCAGGTACTGATTTATGTGTAGGTATACATGTACTGTGGTTTATGGACATAGAAACAATTCTATTTGCCCTACAGATATGTATATGGTTATATAAATTTAAGTTAGAAGTATTTAACTATCAGTACTGGGGAGCTCTGTGATTGTATTAAATTCTTTACTCAAATCACTGAAAATAACTGGGTTTTATTAGTGATTGTACTTCAAGTACCTGTTTGTTGTAGATTTGAATATGAAGAAACACAGAGTGAGATGTTATTTATTCAGATGTACAATTGCCTCTAATGAAGTTTAGGTGATCAGAAATGTTACTCTTTTTTATTTTTTCAAGAAAAGTCATCTAGAATCTCTAAAATATCTTTTGTTGCCATTCTTTGTGATTTTGTAGCCAGCATGAGTGCTGTTACTGAGGTGTGATAGAGTCATGTGTATCATAATATTCTATATATTTTACTTTTATCTCCTATGGTTTAGGGCCGCTATTCCCAATATAGAACAATTCTGACAATCATTTATTTCACTTTTGCCTTTCACCAAATGTCTTACAAACAAAATTGTTTCCAGCTATTTATGGTTTGAAGAAATTGAAGTGTTTTTACCCTGTTAAGTATGGGTTTGTCACAACTGTCTGGGCCAACTTGTGTCAGAACTTAAATAAATACATTAAAACCAAGGTTATAAGATCATGGTAAGTTATAATGCTCTAAAACAGAGGCTCAAAGATAGCTGTAAGTCAAAGTATGTCAAAGATTGAAATTATCTTGTATGTGAAACATTTGGTGATTTGGTAAAAGGATATCAAAAGCATGCATGAAACTAGCTCATCATTGATCTTCCCATTGGGATGAATTGTCTGTGTCTTTTGATCTCTCGCATACCAGGTCTAGAGTGTGACAAAATATTTAAGGAAATGATGCCAATATTCCCATAAAAATTATATTATATTTCATAGTTTTAATTTTGCAAATAGTAATTATTGCAGAGATATGATTCCAAATCGTTATATTTGTTAATGTGTGTGAGTGAATGAAAGTACTGATCCCTGTATACATCGGTTTAGCAGAATGAAAATAATTCATGTAGCACAAGTTTGAAAATATGGAACTTATATCTAAAAGCTGAAATATTTATGGCTCAAAATGGTCTTTTGAAGGCAGGGAACAATATTTTCATTTTGTCTTGTTTTTTAGCAATCAGTAAGCTTACCAGTCTTTAACTCATTTACTGCTGAAGACATTTTTGAACTGTTCCAATTCAAAGGCTGGAATAGTTCATTATTAAATTTTAGGGGTGACTTAGTTAAACAACATTGTAAAAAAACTCATTTACCTTAATGATTCGTTAATAAGATTTTGTTATCTGGTTAATTATATAGCATTTCAAAATATACCTTTATTTCTGTGTTGGTTTTCTCTAGAGGACCATTTAGCATGTTCAGAATTGCAATTTTGTTATTAAATTCAAAATCAGTTTTTGAATTATTAAAGATTTAAATTTTGCATTAGTTTGCCATTAAGCTTATTATGCTTAAAAAACCAGTCTGGACAAAGTTAGTTTAACATGTTACACATCAACATCAACTTTACTCTAAAAGATTTACAAAATACATTGAAATTTAGAATTAGATTGAATGTGGAGGGGTTTAGGATAATTATCTTCAGGCAAAAATAACAAAAATATTAACAAATTTCTAGACACTTATCCAAAAATCTGATTTTGAAAATGTCCATCAGGGACTTGTTACATTCTTGAGGCCCTGAACTACTAGAGTGTGTAGCTAAGGTTTGAAGCTAGACATACCTATAACCTGTTTCTACCAGAACAAAATCTACATTCTAATAGTAAATTCTGCAAATCTTTCATTGAATGTTCTTATAAGATGATGTGGAATTTATTCTCTCAAGTGATGAAGACAGCATGTGTTTTATTAAATGTAGGATTGATTAAAACCAACATGTGCTAATTATTATCTCTCTGAACAAGTCATATTATCCCTATGCAAATATGATATATGCTTCATTGTTATGTAGGTCATACATATGGTGTCATTTGTGTTTTATGCTTCATTAAGTGCTGTCCATCTCTAGTGTGTTAGTGACTGTTGTGTTGTTCCACTTTGTGTACGGCTAAGGCCGCAGAACACTGCATTATTTTTACACAATAAATATTTCCGTAAAATTGAAGCATGTCTTGGGTTATTTATTTAAAAACATGACTGTAATATCACAAATGTAATATTTAACTAGTTGTCAACCAATGAAAATGCAGTATGCTTATTAATTATGGGCAGATTTTGTTTACCATAGAACTTAACCTTTGTGTTTGTATAATAAATGTATGAATATTGACCAAGTTTCATCAGAATCCAGTCATATTTGACTAGGTCACAGGGGTTAAATGTCTTAAAATCTTCAAACAACTTTTTCTCAATAACCAAAAGGCCCAGGGTACTGATATTGGGCATGTAGCATGCTGGGATGAAGGGCTACCAAGTTTGTTCAAATGAATAACCTTGACCCACTTTTAAGGCCACAGGGGTTAAATGTCGTAAAATCTTTAAACAACTTCTCCTCAATAACCAAAAGACCAAGGGTACTGATATTGGGCCTGTAGCATGCTTTGATGATGGGTTACCAAGTTTGTGCAAATGAATGACCTTGACCCACTTTCAAGGTCACAGGGGTCAAATGTCTTAAAATCTTCAAATAACTTCTTCTCACTAACCAAAAGGCCAAGGGTACTGATGTTGGGCCTGTAGCATGCTGGGATGAAAGGCTACCAAGTTTGTCCAAATGAATGCCCTTGTCCCCCTTGCAAGGTCACAGGGGTTAAATGTCTTAAAATCTTAAAATAACTTCTTCTCACTAACCAAAAGACCAAGGGTACTGATGTTGGGCCTGTAGCATGCTTTGATGATGGGTTACCAAGTTTGTGCAAATGAATGGCCTTGACCCACTTTCACGGTCACAGGGGCCAAATATGTTAAAAACCTGTAATACAACTTCATCTGGATAACCAAAATGACTAGGATGATGATGATATTTGACCAGTAGCATGCTTGAAAAAAGGACTACCGAGTTAGTCCAAATGTAAAAACATTTTAACAACATCTTCTGAATAACCAAGAGGTATAAGGTGATGATATTTTGCCAGTAACATGCTCGGATGAAGGGCTACCGAGTTTGTTCAAATGAATGTCCTTGACCAACTTTCAAGGTCACAGGGGTTAAATGTCTTAAAATCTTAAAATAACTTCTTCTCACTAACCAAAAGGCCAAGGGAACTGATGTTGGGCCTGTAGCACGCTGGGATGAAAGGCTACAAAGTTTGTCCAAATGAATGCCCTTGTCCCCCTTGCAAGGTCACAGGGGTCAAATATGTTAAAAACCTGTAATACAACTTCTTCTGGATAACCAAAATGCCTAGGATGATGATGATATTTGACCAGTAGCATGCTGGAATAAAGGACTACCGAGTTAGTCCAAATGTAAAAACCTTTTAACAACATCTTCTGAATAACCAAGAGGTATAAGGTGATGATATTTTGCCAGTAACATGCTCGGATGAAGGGCTACCAAGTTTGTTCAAATGAATGACCTTGACTTATATTCAAAGTCACAAGGGTTGGATATGTTAAAAACCTTTAAAAGAACTTCTTATGAATAACCAAGAGGCTTAGGGTGATGATATTTGTTTAGTAGCATGCTGGGATGAATGGCTACAAAAGTTGTTCAAATGAATAACCTTCATCTTTTTTCAAGGTCACATGGGTCAAATATGTTTTAAATCTTTAAACAACTTCTGATTAACCAAGAGGCCTAGAATAATGCCAGATATATACTGGGATGAAGGACTACCAAGTTTGTTCAAATGAATGAACTTGACATATATTCAAGGTCACAGGGGTCAAATATGTTAAAAACCTTTAAATGACTTCTTAATAAGCAAAAGGCCAAGAGTGATGATATTTGGCCATTAACATGCTGGGATGAAGGACTACCAAGTGAATGACCTTCGCCAATATTCAAGGTCATAGTGGTTAATATATGTTGAAATCTTTAAATGATTTGTTCTGTATAACCAAAGATCCAGGGTAATGATATTTTGCCAGAAGCATGCTGGGTTGGAAGACTATAAACTCTGTTCAACCTAATTTCCTTATTCAACATTCAAGGTCACAGGCGTCATATGTTTAAATCTGTTAATAGGTTCTTATGAATAAAACACTGATATTCTACCTGAAGCTGTATTTTAGTCCACTTTTAAGATTACAAGTGTGAGATTAATACCAGGTGAGCGATGCAGGCCCATTGGGGCTCTTGTTTGTAATAGAATAATTTCCCATGGTTGCTTTATTATCCAGGTGAGTAATACAGGCCCTCTGGGGCTCTTGTTTATCAGATATACTACACCCTCCAATGGCTTATTTGTTTCTTTAAATTTAAGTATTATGCCTTTATACGAATCCAAGGCCAAGGTTACTGTTGCTAAAAATAGAATTTTACACAAAAAGTGCATGTTATCACTCTAGTGAATTATTTGTCAGATTTTTCAAAAGCTTGACAGTTATGTTTGCTGTTGACATACCTTAGACAAGTTCAAGTATGGTTGCCATTTGTCAAAGGTCACAGTAACCATTACTAAATATAGAATTTAACAAGAAATAACTTTTAATATCTCCATAGATCAGCAAGGGAAGGGGATAGTTATCGAGTCTTTTTCACTAGCTTTAAATAAATGTGAACTTATTTATTTTACAACAGTTATGAAACAAGTTATTAATCACTCTTTTTTGCCTGGATATAAGTGTGCTGGGGGTCTTAATTTGTGAGGAAACCGGAGTGGTCGAGCAGGTGAAGCCAATGCCTTTTCATATGATGGTGGGCTATTCAAATCACCCTTCGTCCATGGTCTTTCGTCTGCTCTTCGTCTGTCCGTTGTCTGTCATCCGTCCTTAAACAATACTTGTTATCGTTATTTCTCAGAAAGTCCTGAAGGGATCTTTTTCTAATTTGACATGTAGGTTCCCCTTGATCCTAAGTTGTACATGTTCATTTTGAGAGTGATCATAAAAACAAGATGGCCGAAGGAAGGACTTAACGGATCTTTCTCATATTGCAAAGATCTATTCTATTTCTTTCACATTAAGTGCTGTACTAGTAAATATATGAAACATCTTTTATACACAGCAGTATTAAGTTTAGATCAAATTTTACTTCAAGAAGCTTATTAGATATTTGTATCGTAAGCTTGGCTCCTTTTAACTTTTCAATGTCCCTTTTGAAGAGGTTGAACAAGTTTCAATATTGAATCCTTTGGTTATTTTGTGTCAAATCTGATGTATTTTCTTTTCATCAAAAGTTGACAATGATGTAGAATTATCAATCACCCAGATTGATGATAAAGGGAGGATGTAGGACATAGTTTTAGGGGGGGAATCACCAGCATGGATAACTTTGTCATCAGATACAGAAATGTCCGATATACTTGGTAACAGAAACACAGACAAGAAATGTCTTTTGAAAAATAAATCTCTTTATTTGCTTAAAATACAGGCACGGAGTATTTCTAAAATACTGAGTGTTCTGACTTGTATGCTGCAGGAATCAAACTGCTAGACTTTAGTGGATGCGAGTTATATGTGCGAATTCATCATTATTTTTGTATGAGCGTGTATAAGTGAATCATTTGTGTGAGTGAGTCACTTTTGTATGAGTGTGTACTGAGTTATATGTTTGTGTGAATCTGAATCACTTACTTGTGTGTTGAGAGTCAAATGTATATATATATATGTGATAGAATCAGTTTTGTTTGTGTGTTGCTGAATCACTTGTTTGTGCGAGTCACTTCCGTATGAGTGTTGCTGAATCACTTGTTTGTGTGAGTCGCTTGTGTATGTGTGTTGTGAGTCACTTGTGTATACATGTGTGTGTACTGAGTTATATGTTTGTGTGTTGCTGAATCACTTGTTTGTTTGAGTCGCTTGTGTATGTGTGTTGTGAGTCACTTGTGTATGTGTGTGTACTGAGTTATATGTTTGTGTGTTGCTGAATCACTTGTTTGTGTGAGTCGCTTGTGTATGTGTGTTGTGAGTCACTTGTGTATGTGTGTGTACTGAGTTATATGTTTTGTCTGAAGCTGAATCACTTGTTTGTGTGAGTCACTTCCATATGAGTGTTGCTGAATCACTTGTTTGTGTGAGTCACTTCCATATGAATGTTACGAATCACTTGTTTGTGTGAGTCACTTTTGTATGAGTGTTGCTGAATCACTTGTTTGTGTGAGTCACTTCGTATGAGTGTTGCAGAATCACTTGTTTGTGTGAGTCACTTCCGTATGACTGTTGCTGAATCACTTGTTTGTGTGAGTTACTTCCGTATGAGTGTTGCTGAATCACTTGTTTGTGTGAGTCACTTCGTATGATTGTTGCTGAATCACTTGTTTGTGTGAGTTACTTCCGTATGAGTGTTGCTGAATCACTTGTTTGTGTGAGTCACTTCGTATGATTGTTGCTGAATCACTTGTTTGTGTGAGTCACTTCCGTATGACTGTTGCTGAATCACTTGTTTGTGTGAGTCACTTCTGTATGAGTGTTGCTGAATTACTTGTTTGTGTGAGTCACTTCGTATGAGTGTTGCTGAATCACTTGTTTGTGTGAGTCACTTCCATATGAATGTTACTGAATCACTTGTTTGTGTGAGTCACTTTTGTATGAGTGTTGCTGAATCAATTGTTTGTGTGAGTCACTTCGTATGAGTGTTGCAGAATCACTTGTTTGTGTGAGTCACTTCCGTATGAGTGTTACTGAATCACTTGTTTGTGTGAGTCACTTCCGTATGAGTGTTGCTGAATCACTTGTTTGTGTGAGTCACTTTTGTATGAGTGTTGCTGAATTGTTTGTGTGAGTCACTTCTTATGAGTGTTGCTGAATCACCTGTTTGTGTGAGTCACATGTGTATGAGTGTTGCTGATTCACTTGTTGGTGTGAGTCACTTTTGTATATGTGTTGCTGAATGACTTGTTTGTGTGAAGTGAGTCACCTGTGTATGTGTGTCGATGAGTCAATTGTTTGTTCCAAGTGAGTCACCTGAGAATATGTGTTGATGAGTCAATCGTTTGTTCCAAGTGAGTCACGTGTTTATGTGTGGTGCTGAGTCATTTGTGTATGTGTGGTGCTTAGTTA